TTGTACAGTTCAATGCTTCCAAAACACAATACTGTACTTTGACGAACAAAAAGCATCCTAGCGCTCATCCGGTTTCGATGGATGGCCGAGTTCTGCCAAAGATTCATTTCGGCTGGTCGGAGTCCAGATCACCGAGGACCTGATCTGGCACGAGCACATTTCGTCAATGGCAGCAGCTGCTGGGAAAAAGCTAGGCTATTTGTTTAGGGCCAAGGAGTATTTTTCTCCACATAACCTTCTCACTCTATACAAAGCCCAGATAAGGCCTAGCCTCGAGTATTGCTCACACGTTTGGGGTGCTGCCGCCCCAACTACATTATCCATGATCGATGCTGTCCAGAGGAGAGCGGTCCGACTGATCGATGACTCTTCTCTAACAGACAGTCTCGGGAATCTTTCGAACCGGCGGGCCGTCGGCGATCTAGCTCTTTTCTACCGCTACACCAACGGGCTTTGCTCCTCAGAGCTCTCTTACATGATGCCGCCGCGCGATGTGCCTGCCAGACAGACCCGCCTTACTTTGGTGTCCCATCCTAAAAGTGTTGAACTTCGTACATCCAGAACTGGCCGATACGACCGTTCCTTTGTCCCGAGGGTGTCGAGATTGCGCAGCTGCTTCGGTATAACAAAAAAACCTACTCTGCTGGAAGATCTTCCATTACAAACATGCATAAATATGTGGTTTATGCACGACGGCGCTCCACCTCATTTTAGTATATTAGTTAGAGAGCACCTAAATAGAGTTTATTCAGACCACTGTATCGGCCGATCAGGGCCTGTATCGTGGTCGGCTAGTTCACTGGATTCAAATCCAATGGATTTCTTCTTCTGGGGTGGTTTAAAACGGCGCCTTTACAATACGCCAGTGGAAACTATAGATGATCTTTGACAAAGAATTTTCCACCATAGCCAGGAAATGAAAAATAACAACCAAATGCTTTGGATGGTGCAGCAAGGATTAGTTCGTCGAGCTCGAGAGTGTTAGGCAAGGTGGTGCTCATTTTGAACATTTTTTGGAAATTATTCTTTCCGTTTATTAGTTTTGTTGCCATTCTCATTTGTTATCGTTAAAAACAATAGCAACGCTCCTCAGATATTATCCACAGCAACTTGATTATTATGTTATAAACATGTTTTGTCATCATGGTACAAATAATGCATTGGAACTTTTAAAAACAGATATCTCGAAAACTATTAGCCTTAGACACTTCTAACAAGTAAACCTTTTTTGTTATAGAAATACGAGAAAATAAGATTAGTAATTAGCAACAAAAAATGATAGACATACCCGTTTTTTTCAAAATGTGTATAGTAATGTATGTTTTTCGAATATCGTAGCGCATTTGTTCAATTGCTCACAAATACGAAATGTTTGAACCTGTTTAGAAGAAAAAAGCATAACCTTCGTTTTTCGTATAAAAGTAACATTTATCTTTCGGAATGGTTTGTGATTCATATCGGCAACGCGTGTATTTTGCTATTAAATGCTCTTTGAACGAACCCTGTATGTTGCTCAATAAACTGGTAGAGGTGGCCATAAAACAGGTATTTTGGGATAAACAATTAGAAATTCTCAAAAAACTACTTGACCAATATACTCCAATTTAATTGTTGTTATTGAGAAGCATGAATCCTATGTATTTGAAGAATTTGAAATAGTTGCGTGAAATTGTCGTCACATTACCAGTGCCAAAACCCGATTTTGTCTCGTTTTTCCACCATAACATTTTTGTTATTAATCGGATCTTTTTACGTGTGGTCTCATTTTGTTGGTCTTATGTATACCTAAAAATCTTATATTAAAAGTTTTCTCATTCTTCGATTGAATCCCAAAAAACACGATTTCTCATTCTTTGTTGTCAAATAAAAAGTTTTCCCACAAAAATTGGTGTACCCATTTTATGCGTCCATGTTTTAAATCCCCCCTTGAACAACATGCACCAATAAAACCAGACTTACAATTATTTCGGAGAAATTTGCTAATATGATTAGACTAATATGGCACGAACACAACTTATCAATAGCGGCAGCTGCAGGGAACAAGCTAGGCTATTTGTTTAGGGCTACGAAGTACTTTTCTCCATATGATATCTTCACCGTGTACAAGACCCAGATAAGACCTAGCCTCGAGTACTGCTCACTCGCTCGACTTCAGTATCCCATCTAAACCTTCATATATCAAGAACCGGCCGATATGACCCCTCCTTTAACCCTAAGGTATCGAGATTGTGGAACAATCTACATGAGGAGGCTCTTCCCAGTTCTACTAACCTTGGACAGTTGAAAAATCGAGATAACAAGGTTTGTTTAAGCTGTTCATAGCAGCCGCGGTGCGCTGTTATTTAGGCTTCTGCCTGCGCGGCTGCTTCGATGTAGAAAATGTCCGTGGTCCCGCCAAAGTAATTGGCAAATTCGCCCAAAATTTGACCATCATCTTCTTGTTCCGTTCGGTGAGTGGGGAGGGTCTGTCCCCCAACCATCCCCCTTATATATGCCCCTGTACCCCGTACCATTGATATGGCTAATATGGCGGTTGCTACGCTAGTGCATAACAGTCATTTTTTTTTTGGAATTTCGCAGATTTTGTATGCCCCATTCCAATAGTTTATAGAACGATCTTCATATTTCATTGAACTGAAATAGAGGTAAGCTAAAATGCCCTTAGAAGCATCTAAGGAAAACTAGCAGCAAATGCGGAAGCGTCAAGCATTACGAATAATATTTTCCAACAACTATAGATGTTCCGAACGTCCTTACTAATAATACTCTTTTTTCAGTAAAATTAGAAATGCTATCGTAGAAAAATGCACAACAAAAGTAGGTCGATTTCAAAATAGTGCCGACCTAGAGAAGTTCAATACGTGTGCATGATGCATGCAATAAAAATAAGCTACTAGGTTGCCTATTCAGCACTTTGTTGCAGGTCCACCAGTGCACTGTACATAAATGGGTATAATGCTAACTACACATGAATTTTTATACCGACGAACATAAGGAGTTTATTAAAAATTAATCCAAGTACGATAATTATAAAGTCGCGGCAGAAAAATGTGGGAAATGGACAAAAATGAAAGAGCGGAAAATCAAAGCAGCCCATGGTCGCACGTAGAATTTTTTTTCCAGGGGAGGGGGCGATCAGCGCCGAGATAACTTTTTGTGGAAGTGCTAAAAAACTTTTTGAACAGCGGGGTAGCAAATTATCTCGCAAGGGGAGGGGGGGCAAATCCTGGAAATCCCCAAAATTGTACACGAAATCATGCTAAATATGCAAATTTCAAGGTCCAATCTGATTCCTCAGGGAAGGCTGCTGGCGCCCATGAAGCAGCCGCAAAACACATTTAAATCATGTTGATCCAATGTTTGAACAGCCTAATAACAGAAGACCGTGGAAAAACCTATTCTGACAGATTGTTCCGCATTTTCAGTACTTTAGGAGCCAAGAAGTGGTCATATCACAAAATTCCAACCATACGTAGAATCAACCTCAGTTATGGACTGTAACTCGAAAAGAGGGCGAAGGGGCAGAAGCTGACAGGTGGCGCAGTGTTACCAGACCTCAAGTTATTACTGCTTCCCCGGAATTTAATAGGCACACTACGTATTTCTAATCCAAGTGAGAACAGTGCCTCCGCGAAAATAAGCATACGTATTGTAATGCCTTCGTATAACTGGAACTCTGCGTACATCAACTAGAAAATTCTACAAGTGGCCAGAAGTGGGATCGACGCTTAAGCAACTAGAACGCCATCGTGAATAATCGACACGTCTGGAGATACATCTGCTGACATCTAGATCACTTCCATGGAAATTCGTGACTCATCCGGAAGACTCGTCGATTTGGGAATAAATACCCGACCAGTGTAAAGGTTTCACCGTCCGATCGTATTTATTAAATCACTTCTTGATTATCATTTCATTAATCCCATCTCTAGCTTTTTTACTTGGAAAAATTTCCGCTTGGAGCGCGCTTGATGTTCCTGATCTGTGATCTTCCTCGCGCTTCCTTTTCACTTGAGCCGCCGATCTAGCAAGAGCTAAGAATTTTGTTCTCTGTAGCATGAGGTCATATAGCACCATGTGCTAGAATTTTGTAGAATGTGTGTCCGAATAGGACAAAATGATTGGGGCCACCCCCTTTCTCTTTCCATTTCCCTTTCGATTTGTCTTTGACTTTGCTTTTGTCTTTGACTTTGCATTGCTTGGCCTATCACTTCACCCATGCATGTGCCTTGGCAGCGCCATCACCTTTAAGTTCAACTTCGCCTACATCTAGTTCTGAAGCCACTAAATGTGAGGTCACCCCTCATAACTGGGACCTCCACTTCAAGCACCTGGCCATCCTCGCTTCAGTCCAGTCAAAAATGGACCAGCGAAAGATAAGTGTATAGTTTTATAGCAGCGCCAAAGATTTAAAACTTATTTTGTTCTTTAAAACTTTAAAATTGTAATGTAATGAAAATGCTTTTTTGTTAAATAAAATCTGTTAAATTTTTTGTGTTCTGTTTGTTCTTCTATCCTCTAGCCATGCCATGGTCGACACACAGCTACACGCCTGTAGATGTCTTCATGCCACCGACTGAGCTACCGGAAGCTAAACCTTTCTGTAATTGTGCAGAAAAGTTGGAATCTTCATTGCATTCCATCTTTTCTGGACTTTTTGCGGAAAGGAAGCGTTACACCAGATGACGGAAGAGTCAGTCATAGTCAAGACAGTCAACGGCGCGGGATTAAGATGGAATAGCAGTCCTGTCGACATACTTATAAATTCATTATAAATTGGTTGCAAGCGTTGTAATTCGTGTTAACGTAATAAATTAGTCTTTGAGCAGTAAAAACGGTGTTTTCGTCTCAGTATGGTAGCGACAGCAACCGCTTTCAACTATAAACCAGTCGGCCATCTCGTTTGGGTGTCTTCCGTACACCAGTTTCAATATTTCTCCTGTTCGGATTTTGATTCAATGCTATAATCAATAAAATGTGAATTATATAAAACTAAATCTCTATTAAACAGTGCTTGATACAACATAAGATGTTAGATACGTATAACTTATTGCTTATTAATACTTAGCGCGAGATTTTACGAAATGTAAGAATATTTCACTCTCTACATAAAACTAAAGAACAATGATTGAAAAGGTTGATTTGAATTATATTATACATTGTCTTTTCTCAGTCTTTTGCGTCTCTGCTTAAAGGCATTGAAGTCAGCTTCCAGACTCCCATCGCTGTCCCAATTATCACTGCTTTTCTTACTGGTCGAAGTCACCGAATTCAATTCACGACTGGGTGTATGGCTGTTTTTTACAGGTGTACTTGGCCTTGTGAAAATATTCCTCGATTCTATTTTCATTGTATTTTTAAGTTTTTGTTTTTCATATTTTACACTTAGTTCATATTTCTCCAAGGCTGTCAATGAGAGGTTATTTTCCGATACCAGCTTCCCTACTTCAGCATTCAATTCAGCTAGAGAATTCTCTGTTTTCTCGAGTTTTTCTTTAAATTCAGTTACAGTTTTTTGAAGATCTGTACACTGCAGTTCCTCCAAATTAATTTTCGACTGACTTGATTCAAGCATCTCTTTGTATTTTAGTTTCTTTTCACATTTGGTTGCTTTTATCTCCCTCAAACTTTGAAGTTTTTCCTTCAACAATTCTTCAAGATCTTCCTGTGGTTCTTCAGACAGTGTGCATTCCTCTAGAGAGTGTATTTCACCTTGGATGCTTATCAACTTCTCTTCCCATCCAGTTATTTCCTGAAACCAATATAGTCTCAGGTATAAAACGAAAATGAGCGCATATGTGATAGGAAATGGGTCAGGTAGCAGCCAAAGTGGGTCCTAAAGTTAAATTGGCTCCGTATTCTGAATATACGCAACCGATTTGCTTGGAAAACCAGTTTTCGTCCAGATCACAAATATAATGATTTTTGAGAAGCCTTAAAATAACATAGGATATAAGTCTTTGTTAGGAAGAATTGTCATTATGTCACCCGTTATTACAAGTGAATAAAAGTAATCTTGGAGCATTATTACGCGTCAAACTGACTTAGGATTTATAATCCACGCACTCGGTGCAACCAGAGTTACAAATGCAATAATTGGTCATGGTGCACGGACTAGAAGGATACTCCCAATCATTCACTTGGCTGTGGTATAATAGATTGGTTGACATGAATCTGAAATTTACGCTCGCCGAGAGGTTCACTGCAGATAATTTTGCTAGGCATGTAAACGAGTACAAATGGGGGGACACTCAACCAATAGTGAAGTGGATGATGCTGAGTAAGGTACAAGATCAAAAAAAAGACCAAGGAACAGATCATAGGTTTGTATGTATACGCATGACGCTGAAAATAAGATAATTAAATATATTTGTGTGGATGTATTGATGTAGGTATGGCATATTTCTGGCCACTCTCACACTTCGAGCAGGAAAGGCCGACAGAGCAATACTGTCAAGCGTTTTTGTCTGACGTGGCTATAAAAGCTTTTATAGCCATATATATATATATACGAGCCCCATCCCACTTCACTTGGCCCAACTATTGAAATCTTAGTTTTTTTTCTTATCAAACACAAATAATAAAAATGTAGCAGGGTGTTATAGGTTTAAAATATTAACAATGAATATTTTGATAATATATACTAGATAACACTTCAAGAAATATGGGATTGCTTTACACCAAATTTTTGCCAAAACTTGCTTAACACTATGCCCCAAAGAATTTCAGCCGTAATAAATTAAGGTGATGTTACCCAATGGTAATCTTTCAATTGTTGCTTTGTTATCTTCGCGCATTTATTCGCACATTGTTTATTTGTTCAGATGTTCTATTAGTTATTTCAAATATGTATTTTTTACGACTAGAGTGTATCTAAAATGTTTTTGAGAAAATAAATTGTTTTAGAAGTAAATAGTTTTGTCATGTTTAGCTGATAAATGCATATTTTGGTACAAATCTTGAAGTAGGCCAACTGAAGTGGGAGGGGCTCGTATAAACATATATATATATATATATATATATATATATATATATATATATAAGCAGTAGTCATTGCCAAAGCCAATGACCAGTTGGGCATAAAATACAATTAATTGTTAATTGGGAAATTGGCAAATTTTTAGGCTTAAATTGACTCTTTTGACGATAAAATCAAGCTTTCGACATTCTCTATGGAGCCTTCATCAGGATTCTGAAAACACAATTGTGATGCTAGCAAAGAATACAGGACAGATATAAATTGTCGAACAACTTACTCGTCGTTGAGGTTGCAGCCACAAGGTGTTTCAAAACGAACGTAGAGAAGATAGAACTTTTAATAAGTATAAAAACAAAAGGACGGAGACATTGTTGATAAAGACAGATACCTTCGTTACATGTTAAAAATATCAATTCACCCGAACATATTAAAAATTATTAAACATGAGAAGACATTTTAGGGAAACAATCGGAATGCAGTATCTAACCTCCTACTTCCGCTACACGTGGAGAGGGGGACGGCACGGAAAGATAATGCGTCGACAGATGACAAGTGATTGACGCGACGGACCGTGGAACTGTAAACCTCATTGTCCAATTTGGGTATGAAGTATACGGTAAACCTCCACCCAAATTACTAAAATGCTGAATTAATTTGTTTTGGAAAAATGTGTAGTTCATATGTGTGTACGAATGTGAGATAGTGATACAACCTTGAAAAGATGGGTTATGTGAGTTTATATTAAAGATTGTGAGTGAGAAATTTCAATTACCAGGATAGTAATTGGAAATGTATTCTAATTTTGTAACGATGTTGGTTCGATTTAGATATGTAGCCGTTCTAGCTGTTCGCAGTTCAACAGGTAGGAATAAATGACACTGAGCTGCTTAACATCAGCCTCTTTATTCATTCGATGATCTGTCATGAAAATGTGGGACATTTCTAAAAATAAACGTTTTGAGAGTCTTTTCTCTTTGTCAAAAGAGTCAAATCAAGCCTAAAACTTTGCCAATTTCCCGAATAAAAATTAATTGTATATATATATATACAGGGTGGCCCATCCATGTGTGGACGGAATATTACCCATAAACAAATATATTTTTAGAAAATCTACTTATGGGATGTTATACGTGAATGACATTTGAGGGCACATTTCTAAAATATTGGCCATTATACTGCCTGAAATTTTATTGCATATTTGGATAAACCAATGCAAAAGAAGAAAATTGGTATAATATACTATGGGATTTTGGTAACTAGCTACTGAGATATAAGGTATTTTGTCAAGAAAAATTTCGGCTACTCCTCAGTCCGCCATTTTGAAATTTGGAGTGCTGAATTTTGTATCAAAAAAAACTTACGCATCTCAGCTTTTATCTTATTTGTTACTTTTTTAATATTAATTTTTGCTCATACAGGGTGGTCAAAAACGCAAATTGTAGTTTTTCTCAAAAGCTTCCAATGCATCACCCTGTATATTTGCGTAAGTTTGGATTCAACTTTTTGTAAGCTTTTTTTTGATACTAGACACAAGAGTTCTTACGGCTATTTTTTCGGTTATTAGCACGTCTTTTATGGAACGTCTTAATTCCCTAAAATATCGCATTATCCTTGGAAACACATAAATTGTTGATTAGTTACAAACTGTCAAAATTAGCTTTGTGAGCATTATGATAGAAACGTGTTTGGACATGAAGTTTTCTAACGAGTTAATGGTGAGTATGATATTCGTTTTGGGCGAAGCCCAAAGAAATAGTTTCCTAGCATCTCGCATTTATAAGCAACGGTACCCTAATATGCGACATCCAAGGCTGGAAACATTTTCCACACTACGGGAACGTTTTAATCAAGTGGAGCAGTGAAATATAGTAAGAAATGTAACCCAAGTGTCACCAATGAGGCGAATCAGTTGGAGGTTCTATTAAAGTTGCAGGAAAATCCCCATTTAAGTGCACGGCAAATTGGAGCAGATACTGATATATGCAGAACTTCTGCCCAAAGGATTATTTACAAGCATAGGTACCATCCATATCACCAATGTTTGCATCAAGGCCTTCGTCCTCAGGATTTCGCACGGAGCTTAGTAGAAAAAGACACTACTTTCCTGGATAAGGTTCTTTTTAGCGATGAGGCAACTTTTGACAGCATAGGTGTTGTCAACAGGCATAACATGCACTATTATGCGACGGAAAACCCTTACTGGGTTAGGTAAATAGATATCCAAAATAAATGGAGCTTGAATATTTTTGGAGGAGTTATTGGCAGACAAGTTATCGGGCTTTTCTTTTTCGACAACAGATTAACAGGTACATAATACTTGCATTTTTTGCCTTTGCTTTTGGAGGACGTCAACCTGCAAACTCGGATGCATATGTACTTCCAACATGATGGCGCTCCTGCGCATTATTATAATCGTGTGTGTAACTATTTGGACACCTGGAGTAACAATCGGTGGATCGGACGTGATGTGCCTACGAGCCCCTTCCCACTTCAGTTGGCCCACTTCAAGATTTGTACCAAAATATGCCTTTATAAACTAAACATGCCGAAACTATTTACTTCTAAAACAATTTATTTTCTCAAAAACATTTTAGATACACTCCAGTCTAAAAAAATACATATTTGAAATCACTTAGGCCTATAACTAATAGAACATCTGAACAAATAAACAATGTGCGAATAAATGCGCAAAGTTAACAAAGCAACAATTGAAAGATTACCATTGGGTAACATCACCTTTATTTTTTATTACGGCTGAAATTCTTTGGGGCATAGTGTTAACCAAGTTTTGGCAAAAATTTGGTTTAAAACAATCCCATATTTCTTGAAGCTTTTGTCTCAGTTCGGTGATTGTACGAGCAGGATGTTGTCGTAGAACCTTTTTCATCACGTGCCACAAATTTTCAATAGGTGACAGATCTGGACTGCTAGAAACCCATTTCAAAAGTGGTACATTATTTTCTTCCATCCATTTTATAGCCTTTTTTGGGGTATGGCACGCTGCACCATCTTGCTGAAACACAAAAACTTGGCCGGATGTCAAACATTCTTCCATCACTGGTAAAAGCGATTCTTCTAAAATTGCCAAATATTTGTTTGTATCCACCTTTCCATCAATAAAATGAAGTTTTCTTACTCCTTTTGATGACATACTGCCCCAGACCATAATAGATGCTGGAAATTTCACTTTTCTCTTCAGACAGTCAACATGGAATGCTTCATTTTTTTGCGAATAACTCTACTGCGACAGTCACCAACACAAACTTCGAATCGGGCCTCATCACTCCATTGTATTGCACACCATTGTTGAGGTGTCCATTGTCTATGTTCTTTAGCCCATCTAAGCCGATTTTTCTTTTGCAGTGGAGTTAATAGTGGCTTTTCTTTGGCCTATAAACAAGTTGTGCAACTTAAGGGTTTTTACTTCACTTTTTTTATAAGAAAACTTACCTTGCAAGTGCTAAATCCCAGTTTGTGGGCCTCTCTATGAGTTGTGGAACTCGACATTTTTTTTCACGATTATTCTTCTTAATGCTCTTCGGTCGGCATTTGTGATATTACTTTTACACATATCGTGGCTTAATATTAACTGAACCAGTTATGTTATATCTTCTAACAATATTTCTCACACTTTACCGCGTTAAGTCTAACAAAGTTGCAATTTCTGAGTTTGATTTTCCAGAATTAAAAAAATTTAATTATCAGTAACCGAATTTTCTCACTAGTAACCTTTCCTCTACCCATTTTGAAAACCTTAACTACCCAAAACTATTTTAAACGTATTCTGACAGCTGTGACTAATAAAAACTAAGATTTCAATAGTTGGGCCAACTGAAGTGGGAAGGGGCTCGTATATCTTGGCCTCTTAGATCACCAGATATGACATCGATGGACTTCTTTCTGTGGGGCTAAGGTTTATAGATATCCACCATCTACCCCGGAAAATATGAAGGAAAGGATTAAGGATGCTTTTCTGAACATAAGGGAACACATGCTGAGGGATGTGCAACGGTCATTTATCCAAAGACTACGGCTGTGTATTCAACATGGTGGAGATATTTTCGAATAGTTTTTGTAGATCAGGTCTTGAGTAGTGATAGTTGTTTGTTTATGTTGTTGTTATAGTTGTTTTTCTCTATTACGCTTGCAGCTGATTTATACACCCTGTATAATGGCCAATATTTTGGAAATGTGCCCTCAAATGTCGTGTATGACATCTCATAAATAGATTTTCCCGAAATGTATTTGTTTATGAGTAAAATTCCGTCCACACATGGATGCGCCACCCTGTATATATACCGCTATGTTGCCAAATTGAAGAAATATATGAAAATTAACGAAAATATGCATTTCCACGTGTAGCAGCTCTTCTTTTACTCTACAGTTTGATCCCCGCTGAGTCGCTGCGCGCATAAGCGTGCCTCTAGTGGATTAGACATTATGTAGGGTTGTGTAAAGTCATACGTACAAATTTAATTATTAAGAACATCCATCAACACGAAAACCTATTAAGTCATGAAATCTGGCAGCATCGCACAGTCTTTGAAAACAAACATTCAATAAAAACCTATTATATAGTCAAATATTTCAGAACTTTTGTTTCCGCTCCTTTTCAAGCCCATTTCTTTCATCTACACCCAAAAACCAGGGTCTAAAATAATTTTTTCATCCAAAATGGCTGGTGTAGTTAAGCTAGAGAATTACCAGCGATTCATCTGACCACAAAACCAAATCAATAAAATCTGCATTTTGATGCATTTGCAGTAACCACACAAAAATTTTGCCGTTGCACCTCGTCGCCGGGTTGCAGACTTTGCACATTCTGCCGACGGTAAGGATTGAAAACTTCCCGATTTAAAATTCTCCACGCAAGACTTTGGGAACATGGTAAACGGGCTACAATCCGCCTAGTACTTGTACTAGGATCATCCAACGCCAAATTAACTTTCAATTCCTCTTGAACAGTATGCTGGACACCATGGCCTCTAACTCTGGGAAATTTGGCAATTCCTTTGGGTAGGTTGGCGTTTTTTATCAATCATTGCTAAATTCTATTTCTCAACACTCAGAAATGGAAAAAAGAAACTTCTGACTTGACTTTTATGAAAAAATGGTACTAGTAGTAACGATAACAGTATAACACATAACTTTGACAAACTATCTCCCAAGAACCGTCAAGTTGGTATCAAAGCCCCCTATTTTATTTTGAAACAATGCACTCTAAGAAAAACAGGAGTAGTTATTTATAGCAAATTGAAGGTAGAATCAAAAAATTGCACGTTTCGAAAAAAAAACAGTGGTCAGTGGCGTACTATTTTTATTTGGAAAAAATAATGCCACTAATCTCCTATATCTCCGCCATTGGTGCACGTTAATTTTAAGTAAAGATGTTTGAATGTGAACAATACTTGAGTAAATCCACATACCAAATTTTAGCTCATGGCAGTTGACGGTTTTGAAGATATTCAAAACATTGTTTCTTATTTTTAAACTTCAACATCCTGAAACTTTTTAATGAATCCCTGTTACATAGAAGACCCCCCTTAAATTGCGGTCCAGTGTCTGATGCTTCATTTTTAGTCACGACTTGTGAATCACCCCGTATATACCAGTGGTAACATAATGTATAATGAAGATTTCAAAGGGTCATTTTATATTCACTAGTGCTAATTTCACTATACCTATAATAGGAAATAACGATTTCATAATAAAAAGATAAACCTGGGCGCAAAGGGTTAATTTCGAATTGATTATGGAATTGACCAAACGCACAACGGTACAACTTACCGATTCCAGTTTCTCAATGCTTCCTTCATCTGCAGTACAAGACTCTTGTATTGATTCTATTGCGACGTGTATGTCATTATTGTTCCCTTTTTTCGCAGATAGTCTAGATTCTAATTCTTCGTATTTCGATAAGCTCTGAGCAACCGTCCATTGTAAAGTCCGATCTTCGGTTTCTGAATCTTTCAATTCAGATTCGATTGTTTTGATGTTTACAAGTAACTCGGATTCTTTCTGCCGCTCAGAAATCATAGCTTCATTTTCCAGGATTTGCTTGGATTTTTCTTCCTTTTGGCATAGATCTGCATAATCTTGTTCAAGTGATTTGAGTAATTTTCGATCTTCGTTTTGAGCTTGTGCAAAATCTGTCTCTCTTTTGGTCAAGCTGTTAACTTCTTTGTCAAGCTCGTTTTCCTGGCTCGTAGTACGCGGATGTAAGTCTTGGCAAAGTGCGTATGTTTGACGAGCTTCGTCCATAAATATTGTATTACTTGGGAGTCTTTTCTCTTTCAAATAATACTCATTATACGCTAAAGCAGCTTCCTTCAGTGCATTCGCTGTTTTAAGTTCTTCGATGGCCAATATCAAATTCTCGTTCTGCACTACTTCCTGATGTAATTTTCCCTTGGCATTAGGTACTATTTGTTTAATTTCATCCTAGCAAAAAATAACACATGCTTTTTAAAACTTCTCTCAAATAATAGAAGTAATTTATTCAGATAACATATTATTTACCACGGACTCCATTATTTCCCTCACATCTTCTACAATTTGTTCTTCCATTTTGATTCAAATATTCTCTTACATAAAAGATGTACGCGAACTTATAAACATAAAAAAACTCGGGAGACTTCAAATTGAAAATTTAAACATCAACAAGCACGCCACCTAGCTCACTTGATTCACAAAACATAAAAACAATCTATTTGCGTCCTATGCGTGACAAGTGACTACCAATCGGGCTTCTGTCAGTTGCGTCACTTCTGTCAGTGATGCAGTGTACAAAATTCAAACTTGTCAAACTGTTATCAATTTCTTATCAAAAATATCAAATAGAAAGTTTGTATTAATTCTTATTTATTTTGTACCTAAACAAAGAAATGAAGCCTAAAGTGCAAACCGTGTTGGAATAATTGCTCTACTCATAGCTAAGCTTAGTACAATGTAATCGACTATTCGACAAAGCTCCAAAATGGACTTGGAGCAGATGACACCCCGATTTTATCACGACAATCCAGAGGCCTCATTCTCAAACGGCTCTGGATTGAACCTGGAAAACCTAAACTTAGATAGTTTAGACTCAAACTTTGCAATACTGCTAAGCAGCCTGGTATTTGCAGTAGCCTGGGTCATATACATCACATATTACAATTCAAGGGTGGTAGCTTATATTATCACACAAATTGTTAATAAGCTGTTTATCAGTGATGGATTCTTCAAGATAGGTGAGAAACTACTCCAATTTTCATGAAGCAGTGTTTGCTAAAATAGTTAATTCTTGCTTAATTCATATGATGCAGTTTTCTAAATGCTTAGTGCGAACTGCATGGTTGTGTGATTCTCAAGCATAGTGACACTATTCAAAAAAAGATTTTTTCTGGAGTCATTTTTAATTGCAGATGACTGAAGATAAAGATAATTTGGATTTAGAAAAATTATCAATTAAATAAGGTTTATTGAACTTTCAGATTCATTGAATAAAAGATCAGTATGTTTTGAAAAATATACCATTTTACTACTTTTTTTGCACCTTTACAGGAATGTGTCATTATTCCTAAAAAATAATGCATATTTCTAAAAAATATAAATGACAAATAATTAGTGGTTACAAAACAAAGAGGGAAAATTTGTTTTAGTATTACTACCAATGATACACAACTAACAACATTTTAAAGGCTATGTGGAACTGAAAAGTTAAATAAATTGGTTTTAAATTATGTAAAATCCCTCATAGTATGAGGGTATTATATATTTTTATTACTAAATTAAGTAAGGTGCTTTTCTTTTTCTTGGAAATGGGAATCTGACATTCATATGCTTTATTCAGAGTAACTCTAGGACCTCTTTTTATTGCTTCCTTATTCTTAGATCTTAAATAAGATTTTTTATCTACCTCAACTTTACGAAAATCACTTTCACTGTATGACTTTTTATAGAAAAATGCTCCAGAATGTTGAGATTCTACCCTTATTATTTTAACATTGGATAGTTTGAATGACTCATTTTTCGAATGTTTATAGTAATCCTTATTTAATAGCTTCAACAATACAATATATATAATGTTGTAGGAAGATAGTCACAATGCACTTTATGTCTTTATTCTTAATTAACATGATCAGTTATTAGGGTACTTTGCTCTAATATGACGTTATTCTTGGAAAAAATGTAAGTATACTCCTTGACATTATTCATGACAAAACCCCAAAACATTCAGTATTAACAATCACTGACAGTAGCATCATCTCTGGCCAAAACTTTGAAACAATTGTCTTTATTACTGATAAAATAGTCAACATTTGGAGTGGATCTGCGATTTTAGCTGCTTTTTCTTGTTTTTTTGGATAGTGTCACTATTTTTGAGTAGCAGCGATCTGTCTTTCCGCAGATGTCCATGCATATAGCATCTGGATCTTTACAGGATTCCTTGTATGTAGTAATTTTCAAACAGGTGTCTTGCCTTGCATTGATTATAAATTCAATTGTTTTCAGGTTCCCTCACAATAAATGCACTTTCTGGTAAAATAATGTTCAGAGATGTAGTCTATGTAAACTATGATTATACCACAAGAGTGCAAGATGGTTATCTCATATTCAGATGGTGGAGATCCTATGTACCCAAAGATGTTAGTGAAGGTAAAACAAACTTAAAGAATCCATGTCACTAATTTCCATTGGCCTGTCAGTCTATCGGTCCACCAATTGCTGGCCCTTTTATATAAATGTTATTTTCACATAACTTCACCAGTTATAGTCAAATTCAAACAATTATCAAATTCCAGTTGTTCTTTTTTTGTGCTTTTTCTCAAGCTTTTGACCCTGTGAAAGTTGATATGTTGTTGTAAAAATTAAACAAAGAATAAGCCTCAAATTCATATTACAGATCTTTCCCACTCTGACACCAGGCTATCAGTAGTACTGAATGGCTTTGAATTGCATCTTTATAATCGTTCTGAGTTATATGCACACCTCGAGAAGGCATTTGGACTTGGATCTAATATTTTTCCAAATTCTGGTGAAACAAAAGCTGATTTGGAGGCAGAAAGGTAAATTGTTATAGTTGTAGTAACCGGTCTTGGCGGGTCAAAGTAAGATTACCAGTATCCTTTTATATATCTCTATCTTCCTGATACATACACATGCAACCTACCCCTGTGTGTGAACATTTGTTTGGTAAGCTAGTTGTGTGTCTCTGTCTCAAAAACTTTGCTGTTACATATGAGTGCTCTTGATTCATATTTGTCAGAGTGACAATTTACATGACATCAGCATGCAATTCGAGTTGTCCTGTCTTCAATATAAAATTGCACAATGCCTGGAAATACGATCATGGAGAAGGCCGACAGCTATATTCAGGAAGGGAATGAAAATGTTACCTACTTTATGCGCACTGAAGGGAGTAGCAGATGCGCTGAAGATTAGTGTGGGCCCATGGTATGGAGACTCGATCTGTTTACTTATTTAGTATGGCGTTGATAACGTAACCGCCAAGAACGGTGACTACAACAACTATACTCATGTAGTAAAACAAAACACTTTTTTAATTTGGTTTTTAGAAATGATGATGAAGTACAGCCAACATCTAAAAAAGATAAGAAAAAACCAAAACCAGAAGCTGCAATGGCTAAAACATGGCGAGACCTTATACCTGTTATCAAATGTGATGTCTCCTCTGTAAGTACTGTCGATGGTGATGAGTCGTAGGCGTCAGACGATGAAAACAGTGATCTGAAAATTTTTTCTGACTCTGATTTATTTTCTTAACTTCATTTGGTTTAAGTCTTTTCAAGTTATTGTGTTTTTTTTATTCTTTTGTGAAAACGAGAGTATATTTATTATTTATCTCCAAAGATGGAACATAAGTTATTATATTTTGTTTTTGTTAATGTTCAATAAAATCTTAGATTTTGTGTTGGTTTTACTACTTCTAGTTGGTCTTTCTCAGAAAATTCTCATGACAATATTCTCGAGAATATTCACAGTTTTTTTGTTCTAGAGAATTTTCTATCACTATCTATGTTGATCATCTCCCATGCTTATGTGGCCAGTGAAAAACCACATGTATTTGAAATTCTTCTTCAATGTAGTCATTTCAATCACAAAGATGATGTTCTTTAGTACAACACATATTTATCTATGTTTTTGTTTATTTCATTTATTTTGTGAAATGTATCAGAAATATTCTGTCTTTTTTTAACATTAGCGAAATTATAATAGGAGACTCAATTCCGACTTGTGAATAATTCATTTTCACATTTTTTTACAGAGTCGCCTCGTATTTGGGAATCGTCTAGTTCCCACAACTCTCAGCATAACTTTTGAGGAGTCCCACTTTGTATACTCTACAAAACCAGCAGTGTGCACATTGGATAGATTCATGCACTTTGTCAAGAGCAAAGCTGAAAATGTTAAGGTGATGCTTGCACCCAGCCCAAAGTATACAGGTCAGTATTTTACAATACATTATTACATACTCAGAGAGACTGTTCTAAGTGAAAGCAACTGCCAACCACAACAGGATGGCAACCGATTCCAACACATTTAAACTATAGGTGTGCACACCAAAAAGACAGCAATGCTACCACCAATCACTGGTTGCTGGTAGTTGAATCTCTTGTCAGTTTGGAATTGCCAACCAGTTGGTGAAAAATATCTTTTGTGGATGTGATTGTGGCACATCAGTTAACATTGGTTCTTATTCTCAAAAATTAATTATCTGAAAAATTATTCCCGCATCGCGTTTTGTTTTTTTAATTGATTCAATTAGAGCAGCAGTGTTTGAAACCTTCCAGAGGTCTGCATTTGGTACAAGAAGTATGACAAGCAAGTTAATAGCGTATGTGTGATAATCAGGCTCAAGACATGTTTCCATAGAAGGCGTTGTTTTCCGCAGATGGCTCAGATATTAATTTGTTATGTATCAGGAGTTTTTTGAAAAACAAAAAATCACTGTATATGCTTATTGATTGGTAATAATAATGTATTCACTAAGAACAAAATTTCCCTGACGGCTTGAGTTCAATGTGTACGAGAGAAGTGTGTATAGACACATTATGTTAGGAAGAGATAGAAGCCGGCTGGATAGTGAAGCTCATCACCGCGTTGCCAATATGTTACACCAATTCCTTGAATTAAGATGCATGTTAAAAATATGCATTAATTTATTTTCTACTCACAAATAATGGTTTTAATTTGAGCATACTCATTTTTGAATTGTGAATGGTGTCGGATCTGTTTAGGATCGATTCCGGATCCATTGTAGTCACCGTTCTTGGCGGCTACGTCATTAACGCCATATGAAATAAGTAAACAGATCGAGTCTCCGTACCATGGGCGAAACACTGCGCAGACTAATCTTCAGCGCATCTGCTACTATCTCCATTACATATGAAGTGGGTAACAGAAGACCGCTGTTTTCATGCTCTTCCTGGAAATACTCTAATAAATTTAGCACGAGCTTTCGGCTTTCTCCATTGATCGTATTTCTGGGCATTGTACAATTTTATATTGAATATTGATAACAGGACATCTCAAATTACATGCTGATGTCAAGTAAGTTGTCACTCTGACAAATATGATTGAAGGGCACTCATACGTATTACGTAACGACAAAGTTTTCGAGACAACTAAAAAACGCATGTCTTTGAGCTTACTGAACAAACGTTCACTCCTACACAACCTACCGGACCTACCCTTGTTGCATGTGTATGTATGTCGGAGATGGAGATATATAAAGGGATACTGGTAGTCTTACTTTGACCCGCCAAGAACGGTGACTACAACTATATCCTGCTTCGCAATGGCTTCCATCTGCGTACACGCAGGCAGTGATAATTTGTATTGCGTAACGTAACGTATTTGTTACATTTTTCTACCGCAGCGCTGTCGCAAAATAAAACAATAACTCAGAAAACCTATTGTAGAATCCCGTGCGAACATTTTTTGGTGTAACATATTGGCAACGCGGCGGATTGCACGACCATGTGCGTCACCGTCGCTAGGCTATGTTGTGATGACCTCTGCTCTTCAGCCGTCTTCTATCTCTTTCTAACCTGTGTTGATACACACTTTTCGCGCTTCTCTCTCGTAAACATCGAACTCAAGCCGTCAGACAAATTGGTTTTCCCTATACGTATATTTCAAATTGTACAATGTTATATGTAAGAAAGGTAACGAAAGGTCAACCATAATGTCAGTAGAGAGCCACAGTTTAGAGTCAGTAACAGTGCCAGAATTTATAATCACTAACAGTGTCACCATTTTGAGTCAGTAATAATGACACATTTATGCGGTCTTTCTTACAATCAAGAACCAAGATAGTCTATTTATGTTCCAACTTCTTATTAGTAAGTATATATTTAGTAGCTTTATCCCAACCTCAAAACAGTTGCTTTAGTGGGAATACAAAAGCAATGCAACAAAAAGTCGAAATCATGTTAAAGTCGAGCTTCCGCCAGATTTTTTTTGGTGAGAACAGTGCCTCTGTGTGTATTTGTTTCATTCTTTCCCATGTTGTTTTGACACCTCATCAAAAACAAAGTATCGATACTATAGATAGTGAGGTCAAAGCTGGATCTTACGAATATGACAGTAGATCAGTTGCGCAACTTATTACCGTTATAAGACAAGCGTTTTTTAGGTATGCTGGATGATCCTCCAAGGTACATGGGCGAGGGATTTGTGTTGATGTCTTCTAACGACCTGGAGTTATACTTCTATATGGATGAACCTGGATTGGTGCCAGAAGAACCAGTGCTAGTAACTCTAGCTAATGGAGATATAGTAGAATCCAGTCCTCCACAGTGGGGAGTTGATATCAAATGTGGAAAAGGTGAAAATCAGAAAAGTTCGAGTTTATTTTGAATATAACAATTGTATATCCTCTCAGGTACTGACTTCAGTTACGGCCCATGGGCAGATCGTCAAAGAGAACACCTTTTCAAGTTCTTCTATCCACAGGATTTCCTGCCAATGCAGGTGACGAAGACTCCAAAACCGGGTGACAAGCGTCAGATGCAGTCCTTTGATGTGCGTCTGTTGATGCAGAATGAAGCAACTATTGATATCCTTTTCACCAAAGACAAAGAAACTAATGCAGTGCATATTAACGTCGGCGCTGGAAGTTATCTTGAGGTTACCATACCATGGATCACTGGCCAAGAAGGGTAAGACAAACATTTATGAGAAAGTCACGATGGTTTTCAGGCGGATATGAGTAAAGGGTTATAATTGTTCATAGTGTTCATTATAAACATGCATATTTTGACTATTGCCTAGGACCCCAAGACACCTACACAAGCCATCATTATTACTTTACTAAAGAATGTGACACCAGAATCCAAGTGATCATTGACTCATTATAGTGTCACTTTTGTTTCTAGTTATTGTAGGCTCATATTTATTATTTTTACGACTAACCTGAGTACTATAATCCTCCAATGAGCAACTTTCTCTCTACGTAATGTCAAAAAATCACCTAGGCACATAATAAATAATAATTTGTAAGCTACAATTAGTCTCTAACAAAATAAATAAAGGCAACTGATATTTGAAAATTGTACTGTCAATTTCATTGTGACAGTTTGACATCTGATATTGATATTTCTGGAATATTTGGGAATATTGAGAAAGGAGCAATGTTGATTATAGGTCCTAACGTAAAATCTCCGTAATATTGGATAACATCTTTTAATGTGAACCAGAAGGAAATACATCCTAGCAACATTTGCACCTTGCGACCGTTTAAAATGGACCAGTCCTACCTGGCTGTCTGATTCATTAATTATTTTCAGTTAGAAACGTGATGAGTGTGACATGACATGCTTCGGTGCTATGCGCATCAGGCTCAGTTTTCAAACTAGGTTTGTAATATACTATTTCTTGAAGGTATACTACGAAAATCAACGGACAACTCCTACATTTGGAAGCAACGACTAGTTTACAGTTCCGAGATTTCGTAGCGAGTGAAACGTTAGAATTTTGCGTTTTGTGCCACTATCCTCTAGTATGGAATGATCACCAGCTGTGGGAAGTTAACTTAACTGGATGCAAGGCCACTGTGAACTTGATTTTCTATCACAAATGGTTTTTCACAGGTAATTTCATTTTTGATTAATCCCATAGTTTTCTTTTCATATGAGCAAAGTACTGAGGTCACCCAATCAGTATTTGACTGTCATGCTGAATATTTTTCGAATTTTTCAGATTTAATCAATGAATGGTCCTCAAAACAACTCCCAGATCTTTCACATTTTGTACCATATACATGGCGATTTGGACTGACTTTAAAACATTGCGAGTTGATGACTCTAGTCAATCAGTATAATTGGATAGATTGTAGTAGCGTAGGGCAAAGGAACAGGTTGGAAAATACACAGCTAGCGCTGTGTGCTCATTTCTTGCATCTCTCGTTTGACTTGCCATTTGACGAATTTTTGCCTGAGACTGTGCCCGTCAATCTGTCAATACAGGTAAGTTACCTTCTCTTCATTATGGTAGATATAATCACAAGAATATTATTGATCTAATGTCAAGTAATATTTAGTTAATATATTGATTCTCTTGTTTTACAGGGGGAAAGTATAGACCTGAGTCTCTTCATTCCTGAGTTCCACACTAGCAGAAATATAGTTTTATCCCTAGAAAAACATGCCAAAGTGCTATCCAAGGATGGTTCAACTACTAAGAAGACTGAAATTATACCAAAGTGGAGGAATGTTTGCCAAAAAAGGTAAGTTCGTACGGCAATGCTTGACAAATGCGTCACTAGTGGTGTTTTATGCCTTGTTCTTTGTGAATGTTTTCATATACAATTAACCACAAAGACAAATCCTAACGTACAATGGCTGCCATATAAATAGTAATTGGAGAATTTGTTGAGACGATGTTTGAAACGATTAGCGTTTGTTTATTTTACAATGAAGACGAAGTCTTAGCAGTATCGAATTGCACTTTATTTTTTCACTTCCTACAGCACTGCCAAGCTCCAATGGTGGCGGAGCTAGAGGCGTTCGCTGGTGTGGTTCACTAACGTTGCCAGATGGTTGACACTTCCAGTAGTATTAGCAGCGCTATGACTATGGACTAATTATATAGGCCTTTTTGGCTGACTTGATTGATATAATTTTTTGTTATACAAATGTTTTCCAAGATGAGCTAACTTGTGCCGAACATAATCCTTTATGAACTGATAACAACATTGTATGGGAAGAGCAGAGTCAACATACTTGACGATTTTTGTTATTTTTCCTTCAGTGCTGGTTGGGTAGATTTCTGGTGGGTTCCAATAGGCGCCATCAACATCTTATACACATATCATCCCTGTCCACCTTTGGGGCCGTCACCTCAAGCTGACATTTCAACACCTGTCAAAGAGGAAATTTTACTATCGCCGATTCGATTTCCCCATCAACAACGTAAGAATAGGAAAAGATCACCTGAAGGTGGAAAGAAGTTTAATCCTATAACGCTGGCGGCTGACACTGTGAGTGTTGAGCTAGAAATTGGACCGTCAGTATTGTTGCTTTATGGCACGGCACTGAGGAACTTCATGAATTTCAAGGTAAGTTGTAAGCAACAAAATTTTCACAACGATGGAGGAAAATTGCATAACCTGCGAGAACAACCCGAGAGGTGGCAACGTTGACGCCTAAAGACAGTGGTCGACAGGTGCTATCTGGTAGAATATGTTGATAAAATAGGCGACGAATCTCTAAATTTTGCAAAATTTGGGGAATACGAAAAGTTTGTGTTTGTTTTTATCAATTATCCATATTTTCAAATTTCTGACATATGATAATTGGCGATTTGCGCTGTCTTACTCCAATATAGTAATATGGCTTATATTTTAGGAAAACATTTTTGGTGAGGATCAAGTATTCACTGATATGCAACAGACTATGTCTTGTGAGAGTAACACTGATATTAAATCAGAAGACAGTAACACAAACATTCCACTAGAACTGAGGGATGATTTTGATCATAGATATTACAGGCCACTAGAAGTCGATGTTTCTATCATAATGCATGATATTCAGGCACATTTATTGAAGGTAATTATGAAATATCAATTACTGATTCGCGAATTTTCGTGAAAACTATATATACTGAAGTTTATGGAGGTCGTTATTTGATTCAGAATATCTTTTTGGTAGCTTCTAATGCGGCAAATTGTCTTCACCATCAGACAGTGTTGGTGGACACACATTTGAATACATTTCAACATCTGAATGTTATGGTATTGTTATCTGAAATTAAGATCTGGTGCACGCATAACAATATGAAATTTGGCAGCCTACCAGAAGTAAGTGCCAGCCAAGGTGGTCCGTTATGGTGGTCGCATCTACACTACTCCTTACTAGTATACTAACACTTGCCAGGTGTGAATATCTGTACATTATGCCAGTCAACGCATAGTCCATTTTGCCAAGTTGTATGCAAATCTGATATTGAATTTCCTAACAAATTTAACACTGTGTCATGCGGCCCTTATAATGCAGTCTATACATTTTTCTAGAATTGTACTGAAAAGGATCCTCCATGTCCTGTGATCCTAATTGAAAGACTGGGATTCGAAATGAAAAAAAGATATGATCAAACAGAGCTACAGCTGTTGTTGAGTCCTTCAGTATTGTTAGTATCCGATAACTTGAATAGGTCATCCAAAGATAGACATCTTAACCAAGGAAAGCTGGCACTGTCATCTCTTCAAGTAAGTATATTTTGAATCAGCATCAAGGATAGGACCGCTTTTGACACTTCAAGAAGAAACATCAAAACATGATGAGTTTGTTCACGCTTGACATGTTGCAAGAGCAATGCGGAATCAATGTATTCAATGGTTCTTGTATTTTTTGATTTTCAGATCCGTGGGCATGCAATGTTCTCAGACGTCGGTCAAACTTTAGACCAAGACACCATAGAATACGCTTGGCTTGTGGAGGTACAAATGGGAAAATTGAGCGGAAAATTGACGACATCCCAACTGTACTCGATACTTGCATGTTTAGAGACGCTAGTTCTCCTTATAACAGACGACGAAGATGAATTGAACTCCCCTAAGGAAGATCTAGTCCTTGGATACCACCCGGTGGTGAAGAAAAAAAGCACCCATATTTCTCAAAATGTACATGTCCAGCAAGTACAGCAAGCCATACAGCAGCTTCTACAACCCAAGGTAAAAATCATTTGTACATGATTATGAGCACGTTAAATTACAATATAACAACTGACCATTTCAGAGACATTCAAAACACCGATTTTTCAAGTGACAGGCGCTTCGTACTTTCTACATACCATCTGTCACTTTTGTTCGAGTTGTTTTACACTCAGAACAAACCAATATTTGGTGGACATATACTTCTGATCTACAAAATGTTAACAGATTCACTGTTGTCATCTAGTCCTAGCTAACGGAATATTTTCCTAATGACGTGTTTATAGGGCAATAGTTCAACGGGGTCCAAATCTGGTCAGTCAGGTGGCGGAAGTAGCTCTGCTCAGAAACTGGCGCAGAAGATCGAGAAGAAAAAAGAGGAAGAAAAGAAGGGTTCTATCAGAAGTTCCAACAATGTAGCTGCAACTGAGGAACATGAAGAAATGAATGAACACAAGTTGAAGTATAAGCTGTGCAGAGTAGCTGTGGATGCTATTGATTTTTGGCTTGTTGAAGCTGGTGCAGCATTGCAGCTCTGGGTAAGTAGATGCCATCATCTCAAATTTAAATTATACTAAAATATGCAGTAGCAAGTTTATGCTTTTTCTTGTATGAGGCTGTGACATGGTATTGGTTATCATTGTTAGTGAAAATGAAAATTATTGTTTTGTTACAGATGAGCCCAGTACGATTAGCCAGTTGTAACTTGCATGGAAAACAAGTGAATTCTGGTCTAAGTTGCATAATTTACAGTATGTCTCTCAGACAACTGGTCTGGCACCCACATAAGTATAATCATTCTAAGTAAGTATTCATATCTTGTAAATTCATATGCTGAGTGTCTTTATTTTTCGTGTGTGACACATTCTTGAAACACGCAGACGTATTACTTATTATATTCTCTTTGGTAGACCGAATTCTGACACCTCGGATGTCTGGTTGGAAGTAGGAGCTGTTAATCTTGGTCCTTTAATAATCGAATCTGCCGTATCGCTAGATCAGAAGGATCAAAATATGTATGCATTGCAACAGAAATTTCTGAAGATGCACGATGAAAAATTGAAGAAACTATGGTTCTTATGGCCAGAACTCAACAAGACCATCGGAAAATGTGGTTGTACGGGCGGATGTATGTTCTTCGGCACCAACAAGAATGGAATGAGGTTTTTCAAACCCAGTAAAAAGGATTTTGAAGAGGGGCTGAATATAGCAGCTTTTAGGTAAGATATCTCCATTTGTTCAGACTGTGAAAATGTATCAAATTGGTGAGTTTTATTGTCCGTATACGAATGTGGTAGAACTATGTAGCCTCAGAATTGAAAATGTCATCTAATCATTTGTGTACAGATCACCTATATTGTATTTGTTAGTATTCGCCGCCGCTCTAAATGTTGCAGTATTGTGTTTCGAAACTTTTGAATTATGAAAAGTGTTTTCCGCTGGTATGCTCTTGTGCAATTTTGCTCTTAATTGATTCTTTCAATACCGTTTTTAGCACAGGGTAATATCAAGAAAAGTGCAATCGTGCGAGAACAAAACCTGGGCAAGATGATACTTCTTGGACAACTTATTTGATTGATATATCTGCCCTATTTATCTTAATTTTATGCCTCCACTTTCCACTCCAATCCACTAATTTTGAGGAAGGTGTAAAAGTAAGATGTAGGCAAAACTAGGAAACTTGTGAACCTTATATGTTATGACTTAATACCTTGTCTTGCACCCCATAATTTTTTGGTGCACGGATAACTTTGACAAAATATTTTGCTATAATTTTCCTAGTTGGACTACAGTGAAAAACGCACTAGCGTCAAGCAGAATCATCTAATAAGGAAAAGTGCATAAATAGTGCAAAAGTGCATATCACTGGAAAACGCAATAGAAAATTTAATTATAATATATAATATTAATACACGGCTTTCAGAAAGTTAAAACTGACCGCAGCGTAAAAGTGAAAATAAACGCCTGAAGAACGCACTCACTATTCATTTGATAATGAATATCTAGTACTGCTCTCTATGTCTATGATGCTTCATGTTTCGAGATTTGGTGCCGATCTGATCCAAACATACAAGTCTGTGCTCGACGCTTGCCTATTCGGTGTTTTGTAGGCCCCTTCCTCTGTGTCCACCTCAAAATTCCTGGAGACAGCCTTTGTCCCTAGGTTTTTGTACCGAGATAAACCTATGGTGCAGGGTAGATACGTCCCGAAAAATGATCGGAATACTCTGGTGAAGCCGGCCTTATCTACGTAGCGTGACGGGTTGAATACTGATACGCGACGAGGTAAATGTTGATGTAACCGTTCGATGGAGGCATGTCAGGACCGGATTTGATAAAGCAGATTAGAAACCTAATATGTCGGTTATCATGAATCCTTGGCGTATGTGTTGTGCTTATTTTGACAAAAACTAACTCTGTAATAATAGTAGTTATAAATAGATAGATAGGTAGATAGATAGAAGGTTTATTGTCTTCGGGTCATAGGTATGATATACCGTAAAACTGTCCTTATCTCACTACGAATGAACAACTACATCACCAGACGTGCTGCTGGCGGCTACTATGCACTCATGGACATGTCTCAACATGCAGTAACACGCAGCCTCCTGTGTCCGTTTGTTAAGTCATATTGCAAAACATTTATAGTACCCTTTGTATAAGCTAAAAAATCTACTTTCATGAAATACAAAATAGCAATTGGTGAAGAAGTATTGTAAGTTACATGACATATACACCATGAAAAATCGATAATTTCCGTCGGTCTGTCTGTCGGTCACTGTATCTGTCTGTCCGCTAATCCTTGACCCGTTATACCTTGGAAAGTATCAATCGGATTTTAATGAAATGTTTCCACAATGTTGCTACTATGCCATGAACGGAAAAGCTTTGTGGTTTCTGAAAATCCAACCAGTTGCGGTGGAGCTAAGGCAAAAAACGAAAAAATAAGAATCGCTCAAAATTCGTTTCATTTCAGAAGATTCTGCTGAAGTTCAGAAAAAATTTGTAGGGGCTGAAAATTCAGAGTTATAGAGAGGTAGGCGATAGTGAATGTTGCATCTCTGGTATCAGATAAAGACGCTCTATTATTATGAAGCTTTTGATCTCGGTAATACTTCATACAACCTTTGTATTATTTGATTGATCTTTTTGGGATCATAGTTCATAGAGGTGAACCGCACATAACAAATTGATGACAGAATTGCGTAGCAGATACAGAGTCAAAATACTTGACACCATTTTTTGTTTGTTTCAGGATAAACCCCCCAGGCCAAGATCCTGGCTATGGCCAAAGCATTCTCCACGAAGGCATGCTCCTTTTCAGAACGCCGCCCTACATTATAACAGACATTACCCTACAGGATACTCAGATTGACCTGAGGGCACCTAAAAAACACTGTGATAGCCCCAAAGTAACTGCTACTTTGGAACGAGAAGCGTCACTGGAAAGAGATATACCCAATGGCAGCTTGGAGAAAAAGGCTAGCAGGAGGTACTCTTCAACTTCCATTAAGTAAGTGTTTGAAGTTTGATTAGTTAGTTGTAGTTTATCTTATGGAAAATAAGGACACCCAAATGAGTGGGGCATTTTCTACTTAGACAATTTTGCATTTATATTAGCGGAAATCAGTCGTTATATCGGTTTTCCAAGAATGATTACCTTCTTTTTTCTTTTGTGTGTTGGAAAAAACCGTATATCAATCTCGTGCCTTGGGAGAGAAGTCATATAAATCCTTTGTAATTCCCGCCAAAGTATCGACCAATAGGATTTAATGTTTCATATCATGTCATTTTTCAATAGAGGGTATTTTCCTCACATTTGGCGGAAGCCTAACCTATTGCAGAAGTGGAGTCACATTCCAAGGACGTACTATGAAAAAACATTACGTCACAGCCATGACTTGAAACGTTACGTTTGAAATTTGAAGAGCTACGTCTCCGTGATAGAAAAAAGTGAAAACACTGAGGATATACTTTTTGGAAATAAAAATACCCCAGTTCAATATAATTACAATTCATCATTCCCAATACCTGACAAGTAATTCGCTCTGCTAGCATTTTGAGGGGAGCAATAAAAGATTCAATTTCCGCTGCGGATGTTTACCCTTCATTTAAAAATAATCTGATTATGCTAAATATTCTCATAATTTCGTATTTTAAGGAGCTCACTGCTAAAAGAAGTTCCATACTCCAGGCTTATTGAAGCCAGTCCTTCAAATTTTCCAAACAAGCTGGACAGCGATTCAAAATTGCAATGTGAAAAAGGCAAACTGGCTGTGGCAAGTGACAGTTCAGAACTGTTACCAAAGAATAGTGTGTCTGATTCCAAATTGGCTGTAGATTATTTTATATCTGCTGTTGATGTGCAGGATAATGCGCAAAGCGTAAGTAATATGGCACTACATTTTATGATAATGATCTAATATCTTAATAACTTACAGGGACCCAGCAGCGATATATTAATTTCTTCTCAACCACTCCCAAAATCATCAGAATCGCACCATTCTTTAGGCGGTTGTATTAGTTCAGATGAGAAATTCATGAAAGATGTCCAGCGTACCACCTCAATGTCCAGCGAAAACCATTCTGAACTGTTTTATTCTGCAGATGAGGATGTGAATTTAAACTCCAGAAGCTCAAGCCTGAGAAATTCCATACTTAGTGCGGAAGGAACATTGCTTAGACAAGACAGTAATAGCGCACCTACACAGAGGTTTAGTTATTGATTGCAGTACATATTTTCATACTAATTCTGATGCCTCATTTTTAGGAAGAAGTTTTCTAGTGAGTTAAGTATAGCGACCGACCGAAATGGTGTCCATCCTTACAAAACTATAGGTCCGCTACCAGCTCCTGGATCTGCACCTGAAACCCATAGATTACGACTAACTTCTCATAGAAGCGACCACGAAATTCATACTCCTGAACATAGGAGCTTCAATGGCGGAAAACCTGTGAGAAAATGAAACTTTACTTTCTTGCGTTATAATGTTGATCAGACATGATCTTATAGTAGCATTGATTTACATATTCTCTAAGAAGATGCCCAACCTGATGCTGTATTTGGACGTTCACCTACAATTTTTATCGTCAGAGCCATGATGACAAGTATGATCACAGTAACTCCCTTGGAATGGAAAAAGCAGACTTCACTTTCTTTTTAACTAGAATTATTTATTCTTGAACCAGAGAGTAGTGCTTCGGTGTAAAAAAAGTGCGCTTGGCTTAGCGATTCGCTCATAGATAGGTCGCCAAGTACTGAGGCAATGTTGCCAAACTCACAGAAAATATTTAGAAACTGGTACATGTATACCGAGCTAAATAACAGAATATATTTCTTTTCAAGTTGTTTGGCGGTTAGATTACAACGTCTTACTAAATAAGTAAACATATTATTTTAATTGAACCACTTGCGGATCTGAATTTCCCTAGGGAAATTGCACACTGTGAAAGCCGTGACACACACACACACACACACACATGAATTGCGTAATAGAGGATCATTGTTTTCACTCACTTTTTGTAAATTAACACAGGATGTTGACAGCATAAATGAGGGAGACTCATTTATTTGTTGCGGAGAAAAACTAAAACTTTACGGCGGTGAGACAAAGCAATAAAAGGTATGTATGTAATTTCTGCAGTACAGTGACCAGACAAAAACCTTGAAAAGACAGTCTTATTGTAACATATTCACCACATTCAGTTTCCAAAATGGTGCACACTATTAAATAATACAGTGGGAATGTTTGATTTAAGGAAAGAAATACAAACTTAATGAACAGAAAATATTTATTACTCTCACGTAAATTCGGGGGGTTTTATTTCTTAAGTATTATTCCGGGCACACTCTTCTAATTCTGAAACACTCTCTTGCAAAGTTACGGAGTGATGTTGTTTATTTCTCGTCGAATGTTGTCTTTAAGCTCGTCCAGTGTCCGTGGATTATTGGATTACACTTTTGACTTTAGATAACCCCACAAAAATGTTCGCATGGCATGAGGTCGGGTGATCTAGAAGGCCAGTAAATTCTCTAGAAGTATGGGCAATAGCCCCATATCCTGTTGAAGAGATGTGTTTCTGTTAAATCGGCGTTCTGTTCTTAAATTTCAATGCATGACCTTTTTCATCTTCAAAGAAATCCGGCAAAATAATACCGCTAGAGGATATGGCGCACTAAACAGTCACCTTTGGAATATGTAGCTGTTGTTGATGTTTTTCTTTTGGGTTCGTTGGTGCCCAAAACAACGTTCTCGAGTTTGCGCTGCTTAGAAAACAGAATCAACATCCGTTCAGCACAAGATTTCCGTAATACGTAATCACTTTCCTTTAAATCATGGACTGCTTGGACTTTATAAGAATGAAAACCCATTTTTTTCTTTATTATGCCATGCAGTGTTAACCTAGAGATTTCTAAAGCAGCGGAATGCTTCCGTACAGAACGCCGAGGATTTGCAATGACCAAATCACTTATTCGACGCACATTTTCTTCGGTTGATACAGTAGGTGTGGGGCCAGGAATGGGTTGACTAAGAGTAGAACCTGTTTCACGGAACCTCTTAATCCACTTTTTCTATAGATTCTTACTTGGGGCATCTCTTGGCCGGCGAATGATGTATCATGTACAAAATTTCCGAAGGGCAGCTGCGTATGAACCACCACTCTTAAAGTAAGCCTCGATATCAAAAGCACGTTGCGCTCCAGTCCAACGTTCCATTGTGACTATTTAACCTTCACGCCGAACGCGTCGATCAAGACATCTCTCCACTTCCTCTCGAATACGGTTGCCGCGAAATTCAAATTTGAAATGTGAACTTTCCCACTGGACACCCACATGAGGTATTTGACTCATACTATGGTATCCACTGATCAACGTGAAGAATTATTAGAGTGTCTGCTATCTTGTGTGATTGCTCTGATCGATACACTTGCACAAATATTTTGAACTGTATAAAGTACACATTGAATGAGAAATATGTTTTGTAGACTGCAAATGGATAATCAATATCCCTACTATGAAATTAAAATTGGACAAAACATTATTAATCTTTCGATACAATTGATAGATGATGAATCCATCCATAAATTATTATCTATTTGACCAACACACTCTTAGACATCATTAGCTGTTTTGTGGACGTCATATTTTTTGATACGCCTCAATGTCTCTCTAATTTTATTCGCCTTGTCTATCTTCTTTTAGTATATATTAACTACTCTATGCTTAAACCTGATATCAATATTCCAATAAAAGATCACCTCTACCCGCCCCTCATAGCTATTGCTAAGATTTCGTATTTTCAGGACTTTTCAACTATGAAAGAGGAAGTCCCGTGTCCTGCGTCAACAGTCTCAAGAGGTGGCAACACCCAAAGACTGGCGACAGGTATACAGTAGTAGTACAACTGCTGGTTAACGGTGCCACGATTAGTGGAGGCAGATATTTCACAAACTGTGATCTAGTAACTGATATTTCTAAATTAGGAATCATAACTGTTACCAAATACCGTGAAAAAGCGTGACGTGTCACGCCTTTAGGAACGGTAACGGCGAATGGCATCATGGGATAAGGTATATCGTATATACCACCGTAAGGCTACTATGGCCTACAAGGGATATCGTGTCATAGATTCTGAAAGTTAGCTCCATGCGATTTTATTGCGGTATTTTGCTCATGATGGCATTATAGCCGTAATCTCATCGTTATTCCAAAGTCCTCATCACGTCAGATATTCAATAATAACGACTTTCATCTTGATTGGGTATCTTCTGGTGCAATATGTTCAGTAATGGTAGATAGCCTTCTGAAGTAGTTCGTAACCTGAAATATGAAATGTCCTTACTTACATAAGAAACTGTTTTTAGCTTGAAGATCACCAGCGGACGGTCCAAGGCTTAGTAACACCTCATAGATACCCTGGCCGTGTCAGTCCTCGAGTGATTCCAAGTATCACCGACAATTTTCCGAAAAAAATCAGTCCAGAAGCTGATGATAAACTCATAAATGACCCATTAGCTGATAGCTCTGACAGTTACAGCAATAATAGCTATGCTTCGGCAGTTGGAAGTCAGGAGGATTTCACTTTAATTGATCTTCACATGCAGGTAAAAAATGATACAGATGTAAACAGAACTCAGGACATGAATTGAAAATTCTTTATCTCTATTTTGTTGCAGGTGAATAGATTGATTTTGGAGTCTCCAATGCTGATGTCCAGCTATGTGACCCATTTAACTCAAGCTAAATGTCCTAACTGGGGAGGGGTTAAACAAGGGGATCAGTTCTCTCAGCCACTGTTCGAGAAGTTCAACGAAAAATTGGTATATGTTGGTGCGTATTTTTAATTACGTCTTCTTGCGAATGTATTTTACGATGTTTTTCCCTTTGGCTTGTAAAGTACTACATAACGAGAACTACTTTCTCAAATAAGGTGCCAGATTCGTCCCGCACATGGAAACCGTAAGCGACGGCATAACATCATTGAAAATGGTATCAAAATCGGACGCAGCTGTGGGCAACAAGACACCTACCTCTCCATACATGTACGTATGGGATCAGGAAGATGTTGAACACGAATCTGGATCCTTCCAAGAAGAGGAGCTTCTAAGTCATCTGAGTGACTCTGGGACAAGAACTATCGTTGTTGTGAAACTAAAAGGGGACTTGGATATCATGATCAGTCCGTTGTTGCTAGAAACATTACAGAGGTGATCATTTTTAACTTTCTAACATTTAGTATCAAGCAAAAAGTAGACATGATTAACAAATTCAAAAACTGTTATCTCATTTCATTCCTTCCTGACTTGAAATGTAGTCATGATCATTAGCATTTTGCTTGAAGCGTTTTTTGTGTGCTAGGGAGCTTTTCCAAATAAAAGAGTTGTTAGCATGAACAAAATGAATCCATAGCATTCATTAAAATAATAAGCTTGTAGCGTAATTAATAATTTTGAAATATTACTAGATAATCAGCTGCTATTTTACCGTAATGGATACTCGTGAAAAAGATAGTACATTTTTCACAACTACTTCGATGACATGAGTATCAAACGAAAGAACTTGATGAGAGAAACACCATAAGCAAAGTGGTGTTTATAATTAACATAGAGACCGCTACAATATAGGTATGAAACGTATCGTTATTCTAAATCCAAAAAGGCGATTTATAATTTCCATAGTCACCCATAGACTGTGGGTATCAAATGAAAGGGTTTCATGAGGGAAATAGAATAAGCAACGTGTCCGTTTCAGGTATATTGACGCGCTAACCCCAACAGTCGCGAACCTGCACCCACTAACGGTAATAAACCACTTGAGGGTATCCTGTATTAACCAAGTAGAATCTGCCAATATTTTAAAAACAACCGAAAATGTCGCCAAACTTTGTCAACCATCCGCAGACGATGACGCAGTTAAGGTACCGAACGTTTACGAGGAAACTGTTAAGACGCAACTTCAAGCTGCTATATTTTTACCGAAGGTATGATCGTTGGATTTATACATACAAAAGTGCTTATTATACGTGAATATTCTTTTATTTTTAGGTCAACTTTACATTGCTACAAGTTTCAATTGTGGAAGAGATAATATCGTTTTCTGCATTGGATAATATCAAAGACTTGACATGTGTCTCACTATTTTCTGTATGTTTTGATAATGTGACAGCCAAACTTCATTGTGATAAGCAAGTAAGCATGTAAAATTATCTCTCTTATGAGAAAGTTACATTGACTATATGCATCAAGCTAACACTGTTCAGTGCAGATGCAGATGAAAAATGTATGTTTCAATTCTTTTTTAGGCAAAAGAAGTTCTCCAGAAGTTCCTTAGGCCAGCAGTTGTGCGAAGTGGCAACAAAAAAGGCGCTAACAAGCCAAGATTTCTGTTGGGTTTTCAGACCAACACAAACTCTGACGTAATACAAGGTGAACCGGTTTTTATAGAAAGCTGTGAGAGGCAACATGAACAGCTGGTGATATGTTTGAATATCGGCAAAGCCCATGCACAGCTTAGGAGGCTCAGAAATGAAAGTTCTATTTTGGATGATGCCGTGATTACCGCGATTCCAAGTTACAAATCTAAGGTACTGTTCACTCCGACCAAAGTTAAGAGTGTCTTCAGAGGGATGGAGTACTATTTGCAATCTCCTGTGGGCGAGAACTTGGTAGGTTTCGTACTCTAATTTCTAATGTGAAACTGGATAATCAGATAATTCAAATAAAGCACATTTATGAGTGGAGTGTACGGATTCTTCTTTGTGGCTGTTTTGTGTACCAATCATTTTTTCAGCCTTCTTTGGAAAATGACTTCAACTCTGAAGATAAACTGGGCTTCATAATGTTTGAGTGTGGATTGGAGGGTATCACGTTGAAAGTAGTCAAGAAATCTCACTTTGAACACGTTGAAATGGATGTCACTGGATCCTTTAACGATTCAGTGAGATCGCACGAGAATTTGGATAGCTCTGATTCAAAATCGAACCACACAACTCCAAAGTTGTCTGAGAATAAACAGGATACACCAAAGACAAGTGACAAAGAGAAAAAGTCAGAAGAGGTAAAACAGGAAGAACCAAATAAGGATGTAGCATTGTTCAATAAGGACAACGGAAACGTGTCATCCTGTATCATTGAACTTAAGGCAAGTTTAGCGAACTAGGACCGTTGATTAACATGCTCCATAAGAAAATACCCAACATATTTTAAAGCCATGCACGTAGAGTGGCGTCGCCAACCAATGATGCTTACAACTATCGAGTTGGTTAACATATATTGAGCGACTCTCTTAACTTTATTTATTTATATATTTATGAAATAATTGATCATTGCAAATATAGTCACTATCATTATTTAGTACTGTTCGCCAGCAATTATTCAAAAAGTGGATAGAATCCCTTCAAAACTCCGGCGGTTAGGATTGGAAGAAGTAGTCTATGCATTCTTGTAATTGCAGTTCATGATCAAAGTTTTTTCCCGTGAATGATCACTGAGTGATTGAAATAAACTGAAATATGTTGGAGCTAAGTCCTGCGAATACGGAGTGTGTGGTGCTATTTCTCAGTCTAGCTTCGGTAGCTTTTGTCAGGTACCCGGCGAAAATGGTGCGGCTGGACACCGTACTATATGTGGCCAGGCATTGTCATGGAGAAAAAATATTACGTCATATTGTGGACGACAGTTAGACAAGGCGGATGAATGAATGAGAGATAAGAGAAGTATCTCAAAATATGGCATTTACAAAACAGCTGTTGGCATCTAAACACGCGGTTCTCATTCGGTCAGAGTTAAATGTCGTGTTGCCAGATGGAATATCTATTTTATATGAAGTCATTGTCCATTACCTGCAGAGAAAGCACGATGTTACTTTTTTGGCATTTATTCATGGTGGGGATATCCATCGTCCATTTAGAACCTACGAAATATATGCTTCATTCAATAAAATTATAGTTATTCTCAAAACTTGTAAGTTCATCAGATAGCTATTTCACTTTTAGTGCTCTATACGGAATATTACGCGATTTAGTGTCAATACAAGAGAATGTCAGCTAGAAATTGAAAATGTAACCTCAAATTGATTATTCGACCTGTTTGCCAGTTAACTAGACAGCCTGTCCTTAAAACGATATGGTTACTTATTTCTTTTAAAAATCATGAAAAGAGCTGAAATGCATTCAGCTCAATATAAATGCAGCGTTTTCTAAACATTTAATGTCAGTTTGGCAACACCGCCTCTGCAGAAGCAGAGGCACCTTGAGTGAAACTCCAAGATACCTGGCAGAATGCCGAGCCACCTACGAGCGAATCGCCAAACTCAGAGCGGTCCGCTCATAGATCGCTGTTTTTGTTGTAAACCAGTAACAGTCGACCGCAAAGTTTTGGTTACTTCACATACTGATATTTGATTCTACTTGGTAACATGGCTGTGACGATGAAAATGAAAACAGCATCTTCATGGAGAATACGTTAATCTATGCTAGAACTCGGTAATTTCAGTTTCTTAGGGAAAAACTTATCATGTTGTAACAGGTGGTCTGGTTCAACTTTGCGGCCCCACCTCGAGCTCCAATCACCAGAAAGATCGATTACACCAGGCTAGATTGGAACTTACTCAGTACTGCCTCACCAGCTATTAATGCTTGGATGAATCCCAGTAACAGGTTGGCTATCAGGGTAGTTCACATGGTTCGAACAATGTATAGGCGAGCTACAGCTACAGTGGCTTGTCTTATGGCTGACGCTTTGGAAGGACAGAGGATTACACTCACAAAGGTAAGTCATTATTTATTCAAGCTCATAAAAAGCTTAGTATAATCTTGATGCACCAGAAGTTTTGGCTACACTTTGTCTATTTTTCCTTAGACTGATCTTTGGATCCTCAAAATACTATTATAGTATATTTCGAAGAAGTTCTTGACTTGTTTTAAACAAATTCATTAATTTCAGAGTCGCTATGGAAAACTAACACCCTTAGCACAAACCCTACAAGAAGACCCTAGCCTACAGCTTTCTTCCATACTCACTAAATACTATATGGATTCCGATCCAGCATATATCGAGTTGAATCTGAGAGAATCTGAAATACCCCCACTTTTTACGTTAAGACAGGTAAACATGTCATTTCTTCCTAATCACATATACAGTGAATACATATTTTCTCTATAATGCAGGGTGTGATAGTATTAAGTAGGCAGTGGAAGAATACTCTGTATACACCACTGATGCCACAACATACTGTCAAATCGAAGTTAAAACCTATGAACGTTACTATAACAGTACCTGACATACAAGAGGTAAGTTGATATTTTGCCCGTACATCATTCAGTATTGTCATACTTAAGAAAATAAAATTAATCCTTTTCATTACGTCACGATTAATAAATGACTTGGTCCTTTCTTATAAGAGCTGAGATCTTTATACCTTTTTATATTTGTCTCAGGTGAACCAAAGCTATGAGTTTCTTAAAGTCACTAAGAACAGTAAGAATATACATATACATATATGTTTAGAACTGTGCTTAAACTGTTCACTGCACTAACTCATTATATGTTTCTTACAGTGTTTTTGTGCTACAATTAATCATTCTCAATCATCTAGAATTCAGAGTAAGTTATTCTCAAGTATAGGGCAACCTCCAAAAGCTTATTTCGAAGGAATATCAATATAATATGCTCAGTGTTTTTATTTTTTTCGATAAATGAGAAATGTCTTTACTTGTCGTCTAAAGCTGAAAGTTACATCAAAGTTGTAGTGAAACAAATTCTAACGTGGTAGAATAATTGTTCAGCCCTCTTCTTAGCAATGGATTGCTTACGTCAAATGTCTGGAAAATTGTCTTCATTTTAAAAGGATGCAACTTACAAAAGTTAATAACACTATTTCATCAAAAAATGAAAGTACTTTACTTTAATAAAAAATGCAAAATTAAATTTTTTCCGATTACACTTTGATCTATAGAAGTGCTCAAAATATTCAGTCTGGTACCTCATATATAAGTGAAGACTTAAAACTTGCTTTCTTCTAATGGTTAACATCTAACAAACTCAAAAGTAAAATGAAAGCTAAGTTAATTGAAAAAATTAATGTACAAAGTGTTCTATAAAAGTTTTGCAATATGACTTAACAAACGGACACAGGAGGCTGCATGTTACTGTTTGTTGAGACCAGTGCTTAGAAGAAATGACGCTAGCTAAAGAATGATTGTCCTCATCGTACGACTATATTCAGGTGGCACAGATAACTCCAAAGGGGCAATTTTACTCTGAGAGGGAAGAAATGCCGCGAACGTCAGTAACAGAAGAAACATGACTTTCATGATTCAGGCAGCAGCGGTGGCCGCAGTAGTAGACTCTTCGGTCTCCTGATCAGTCGCCGTGCGCTGTGCGGGTTCGAATCCCGTCCCAAGAAAATTTGTTTCTTTTGGCTATGGATGTTGTGTTTGTCCGTAGGTGGTAGACGGTCTCTGACTGTCGAACGTGGAGGTACCACACGTCGGATCTCGTAGACGGGGCCAGAATGTGTGCATGTTGCATGCACACGTGTTCCCTCGCCAAAATCCGTGTGGCGTTCCCAATTTCCCCTGTATCCCCCTATAGCACCACCGTACCCCATGGGTGTTTAGGCCATAGGCCTTCGTGGTAGTTGGTGTATAAAAAAATGACTGCTGCGAGGAAAATGCTTACACCTTACACCTTCATGCACCAGCAATTCGTTCAATTCTGCATGACCATTTACCGCATAGTCTGGCGGAAAAGCAGAAGGCTCGTCGTACGGTGCCGAAAGATGATGAAAATGTTTGATAAGGGGCAATCTGGGTATGTGAACAAACACACCCGTAGCTGTCAGAAAATCCCGGTCAGTTAAGACAAAAATGATAGCTGTATTTTTCAAAACTAGCGGGATTGTGGAGCGTCTCGTTTTGGACACACAGAAGACAGTCACAGCTAAGTGGTACAAGGAACAGTGCCTGCCTAAAGTCATAGAGTCTTTGAAATACCTGCGACCAAATTCAAGAATGGACACTTGGTACCTCCACCATGACAACGCTCCAGCTCATTGCGCCAAAGCCTGCACCGAGTATTTGACCACAATGGACTGAAGCTTATTGAGCACCCTCCTTACAGTCCAGATCTTGCTCCCTGCGACTTTGCACTGTTTCCGCATGTGAAAATGAAGCTAAAAGGAAAACGTTTTTCTAGCGATGAGGACCTTCTGAGGGCTTGGGACAACGAGTGTACCGCACTCCCGGGTGAAACTTGGCAGAGCTGGCTCAATGACTGTGGTGGAAATTACTTTGAACGAAGTCAATAAATAAAGCTGGATTGCAAAACTTGTATAGTACCCCTTGTACATATGTTTAAATGTTAATGGTGAAGATTGATTGAATTTATAGAACATTTTAAATAGCTCGGGGTTTTGTTGACTTTCAATTGAATTTTGATATTAATAGTAAGAAAATTATAACCAAGATTAATAGTAAAGCGGGATATTTAGCAAGAGTTTCTGGATTTCTGAGTTCATATAGTAGAAAAATTATCTATAATAGTGTCATTCTTGCAAATTTGTTGTACTGTTCGACTATTCTATATTTAACTAATAATTCCATTTTTCGGCAAATTTTACAAAACAAGTGCATGAGAATCAATATAAATATACTCCAAATAGACAAATGCTTAGTAAAATAAAATGGCTCAATGCGAACATTTTTATCCAATATCTTGTAATGATATCTATTTATAAAGTAAATAAAATTATCTATAATACCATCATTCTTCCAAATTTCTTGTACTGTTCGACTATTCTATATTTAGCAAATAATTCCATTTTTGAAAGACTGCAAATTTTACAAAATAAGTGCATGAGAATAATACTAAATAAAGATAAATATACTCCAATTAGGCAAATGCTTAGCAAATTAAAATGCCTCAATGAAAAAAAAAATTATCAAATATCTTGTAATGATATTCATTTATAAAGTAAAAAATAATATATTTCTATCAAGTCTAACTAATTTGACATCATCAAATGTCGACCATCATTTACATAATACCAGAAATAAAGATGACTTCCATTTAATGACCAAAAAGAATAACATATGCTACAAATCTGTATTCCATCAAGGGTTGATTAAGTATAATAAATTATACTCAGAGATAAAAGACCAGAAAACTTTGACAAAATTTAAAGTAAAATTGAGAAATCACTTGTTAAATCTACAATTATAGGTTGCACAGCATTTGCATCATGCACCATATGGCTTGAATTTATTAGTTCTAAGTTGTTTACAATTATTCTGTTTATGTAGCCAAATGTGCTAAATAAATCTTTCTACTACTACTACTTATTGAAGTCTTAACTTTTGGCTATTATTTCTGGAATTCTTGATCTACAAGTATACGTGAAATCATCATCATAAGAGAAAAAATGCAATGTCTATGAATAATTTATTGGAGGCAGTTTGAAACACATCACAGTTGCATCAAAGCAAGTGTAATGAGATTGTTTTGTAGCACAAAAATACACAGGCACGTTACCCTTAATTTGCCTTGTGCTCACCCACCCGATGATTTTTGTTCCATTCTATCCGCACCACCCACCACATTGTCCGCGTCTGTCGTACCGTGTCACGTGACGTTGTGCAGGAGCCATGCGTGACAGACGGCGAGGCAAGCGGTAACGAGGAACCGGACATTACTGACGAGCATGCGCGGCTGCTGCACGCCGGTATCATACTGAGGCCGAACGCAGCGCACAGGCCCACACCTCAGGCCTCAGGCATTGGTATACACCTTTTCCTGACTTAGTTTCAACAAATTACCATCTGTGGTTCTGTATTTTGTAATTTATTTGGTGATAGAGGCGCGGTTGTCACTATACATGTATCCAAGTGAACCAAAGCTTAAATTTTAACACCGCGTAGCACAAAAAAATCAAGACATGCACGTATTTGAAAAAGACCACCGTGGTGATCGGAACGTCGTTAGTAAACAGCATTTCAAGCATATGTAGTTTCATTTATAGGCCAGATAAATATTGAGGATTATAAGATATGCATGGCATTCGACAGGAAATCGAGATATCCACCGTTCTTTTTGCTCTTCTAAAAAGTTATGAGTTTTAAGTTACGCGCTACTAGAACTTAAGCGACGATTTGTTTAGTTGAGCGGAGTTTTGAATAGATCCAACAAAATATTAAATTGATTGTAATTAGAGCGTTATAAAAGGTAATTGATGACATCTACTCTGTGGTATCCACCAAAATATAAAGTAAAAGATATTTTATAGTAGCTATCTCATCACCTAGTCGCTAAACTTCTCACCGGGCATACCAAGATGACCTTGTAATACTGGTCGAAAATGAGATATGTTTTTGGGAGTGATATGTCATGTACATTACGAAAAATCATGACACTCATTTCTGTCGGTCTGTCTGTCCGCTAATTCTTGGCCCGTCTATGACTTGCAAAGTACCACTCAGAGTTGACTCAATTGTTCACATACGTTTACTTTTATGCCAAGAACGAAAAGCTGTATAGTTTTTGAAAATCGGTCCAGTGGCGGAGGAGACCATTTTTGAAAAAAAAAATGGAGCAAAAATTGAGGAGTGCGGGGTTGTAGGGGGTGGAGGAGGGTGTATCGTAAATTTTGCCGGCAGTATATTTATAAACGTTCAAGTTCAGTAATTCTAAGCTCCTATTTGGCATATTTTACACATTTATTACCCTGTATATTTGCCCTTATAACTAAGGATGATAGATGAATGTATGTATATACAATGTGTTCGGTCACGACATACCGGTATTTGAGGGGGATATTTTTCAGCTATTTTTATCGATAAATCCACCCCCTACAATCTCATACCTCATCCCCTTTAAATCGATCCATACTGCTACGAAAGAAAATAGAGCTGACACGGATATGGTCTGTCGCTCAACCCGACACATTGTTTTAAGAACAACAATGTGCATAACCAATAATGGAGGACATCTTGAACAGCTTCTGTAACATTAAACATGTCCAAACTCTATATAAGAAACATTGATTTGTCATTCTTATTTATAAAATGTTTGAAAATAATTTGCATTGTATTAGCTTGAATTTATTGCTTAACGTAAAACACTTAGGCTAACAAAAAGCTGTAGAATTAGCACAAAAAAGTTCACAGACTAGTTTTTGAATGGTGTGCGAAAATGCACAAAATAATCAATTTTCTTCCACATCTTTTTCTGTGTTTGTCTGTTGTTAAGTATGTTTGACGGTTAGTATCAAAACAAGTTTTTCAATAATCGCTAGAACAACATGTCATCGATCAAATGACACGAAATTCATCATTCTGTGACAATTACGTACTCGTAACGTAAAAATAAAAATGCCTTCCATTTCAAGTGGGATGAGGTAGGACATTGTAGGGGGGTGGATTTATCATAAAAATAGCTGAAAGATACCCCTGTTAAATATCGGTATGTCGTGACCAAACACATTGTATAGTGCACTAGCTGCTGCTCGCTCTCGGATGAACAGCCACACGACGAATTTTTACCTGATCAGGTGAGAATGGGTTAACAACTCTTAAGGGATCTAACAATTGCCGCTAGCAGAACGTTACACTTTATTGAATATAAATAATTAGGATGGCAATATTATTGCTGTAGTTATTCAGGTGTGAAATAACGAATATACAACCAGTCTTCTGCGAATTTGAAGAAACTCAATCATATTACATTATATTATATGCCCAGCCCAAAGATCATTTGTGCAGAACTACCTACGAAGTACAGAGTTAACCTCTTACTACTTGACGCCATTTTATATTAAGCACTGCAGATGATTACAGCTTGGATACTCGGTTACTCTTTGTTCTGAATTTTAAAATATATTTATGAAGAGTAAATACGATGTATCATACGTACCACATATTCTTATTTTTATAAAACGCATCCGAACAGTCTGATACAAAATATTTGTTGTAGTTGCATTATTAACTCACCGTTTTTATTGTTGAAAAATACGATCTTTATATTGATGGTTATTTGTTGAGAATTCGTCACGAAAAAATATTGCAGATTGAGTCCAAGCACCTTGCAGCACAACAGAACTCACTAAGTTATACTTTCAGTAAATAAATCATTAGCATATTTCATTACAGCACACATTTTTGTATTTCATTGTTATTTAGAACAGTTGTACATTTCTCACTTATAAGCAATATTTTTGCAAGTTGCTGCCGGTCTACTATTGCGCCAATTTTGAAAACCTTCAGGAATTATTTTAATTAAACATAGCATGTAAGAATATATAGACGTCTGGTAAATATGAACCTCTGTGTGCTTTAAGATCCTTGGCTGGAGTGCAAACCACTTAGGACTATAATACCTAGTGAGCTGGACTATATTAACTAGTTGAGTAGAAGCTTCGCGCCGCAAAATAAATAATATAAAACCAGTTCAAACTTGATCGTAAGGCATTAGAATAATATAATTGGCAGTTTAACTCGGCGTTGCATCCACTTACCATTCAAAAAACATATTTGCATGAATTGAGTATTTACAAATTAGTATTTTAAACATATAAAGTTGATGATAAACATTAATTTTACGACTTGGCAATGTTCGCTACTAAATGTTTACCCTTCCCATAAATTTGGGTCAGTAACCACTAGCATAATAGATTATGTGTAATATTACATTCCTTTATTATAACTAGCGGACATTTCAGAAATGCTTGATTTTTCATTAACTTCATTAAGGAAGCTACATTATTTCTGTAAATAACAGTCATGCTTACTCACTCGTAAATAACTAGAAGGACATGTAGGCCCTTGTTATGGTTATTCAGCTTTTCTATAATATTTACTTATGGTCTTACTTCACCAGCTTACTAGTGCTCACAACTACTTTCTGATGATCTAAGAAGGCAGAATATAGACTAGTGTTCAAAATAACACCAAATCGTGTTAATTGAGTTTTTCAAGAAAAAGAAATAATTCTGCTGCCTTCTTGGATGTGATTTAAAAATTTAATAAAACCATCTCATGTATTTCAAGTTCCCGCAAAAGAGAATTTTACTTCTATGCATCAATCTCCTCGTATGGCCGCTTTTGGTGATTCTTCCATTCATACACCTCAAGTAGCAGTGGTTTCTGGTGGAGTTGAAAGTATTCTCACATCACCTAGCCCACCAGGTAAGATATGTCATGGGTTTTTCATGCTGTTTGTTTGTAAAGCATCAAGGTGGAGGTGCAAAAGAAACGCTACTGGAAGGAGTTTTTCTATTTGAATTATGGTATGGGCAACCCCACCACTTAAAGAATTACAACTGAGTTGGATAGCAACAGTTGCCGTGTCAAATGTCCATGAGTTGCAAATACTGATACGTATTATGAATTTTGCATTTACCAAAAATTTACATCTTATCATCTCTCAGTGGTGTTTCTTTATGTTTTGTTTTGTGCTTCGTTTGTAACGAGTGTGTTTTCTAGTTCCGCATAGAAAACGTAAAAAGAGTATTGTTCATCCTATCCAACCTCCTAATAGCAGCAGAACTAGTGTGGTGTTACCGCTTTTGACCAACGCAAACATTTTTACAACAAAACGTGTACATGACGACAATATATGTGAGTACGCTTATTGTTCTGTATGTTTTGTTTACTAAGAGTGTCTAGATGACATTAATAAGTGTTTCATATTGTGTCGGAGACAAAGAGACTCCTCAGCATTGACGCGTCACTACGCGCCTCACAGTTACGTGGGTAGAGTTAATATTTTTCGGCCTGACAATGGAAGTTTGCGGTTTTCGGTTTGAAAGTATCATTTTTTACATAATCGTCTTTGACGCCAACACACTTGGTCCAACGTATTCCAACATTAGAATTCCTTCTACGATATAAAGTGGAAGTCTAGAATGCTATCTATTCCTGATAAAAACCGATTTTTTTTCTTCTCCGAACCAGGTCAATATTCACGAATGTCGGCATACAATTGATCAAGAAGGTTGAACTAGTAATTGTTCTTTTCAAGATAAGCAATCAACAGATTCCCTCTCTGGCATACAAAAACGCACTGGTCATGACCTTTTCCACAGATGGAATCGACTGTTCTTTTTTGGCTTCCACCAACTGCTTTGAATGCTGTTTGCTTCTGGCATTTAGTGGTCGACCCATCTCTTATCCATAGTAACGAATCGCGGTATAAAATCGGTGGCATCCCTGTTGAATTGGTCCAACAATTGCTGTCGTTTACGCATCCGCTTTTGATCGGCACTTGGCAAATGTTGCACCACCCTGAAGCCCTCTCAGTTTTTTGTGCAAGATATTACGCATATCTTCACGGCCTCAGCCATCTTACCCAACTCAATGCCTATCGTGGGTCTTTTCGATGATTTCAGGCGTGGCTGCGTTTTTGACCTTCTTTCACGTGGGTCATCTTCAAGGGACATGCGACAAAGTTTAATTTTAGCTGTGTATTTTTTAATCGTTGAGATCAAAGGAGCAGAATATCTGTGAGCTTTTGTTAACTTCGGAAGATTTTCTTTAGGGGTTAATCCATCGAGGAATTTGACAACAGCACGATATTCAGGTTTTTCCTTTTTAATGAAAACCAAGCAAGAAGTTCAATTCAAAGATTCTTGTAGACTAACTACTCGCAAAAGCAAGTTGCAACTTGTTATAAGATCAAGTGACATTTGCACCAATGTAAGAATTATGAATTTTTGGTGCCATGTCCATGTCAGGTTGAAAACTTTTCAGCTTATCTACTTAAAAGCATTGAGTACGGTGTTCTATCTCAGTATTTCTCTCAACTATGTTTCTTCTCTGCGCAATAATTAGGAATCTATTTTGAAAAGATTACTGTCTCGTAGATGGTGCTGTAGCTATATACTCATATGTGGTTGGCTACAGCGGCATCTATGTGACACTAGCTTTTTCAGAGTGGATTTCTATTTATTGCGGAGAAGAGAAAGATATCTGCATTTCATCTCGGATAATATTTCGTACGCGCGAATGTAGTATTATCTTCAGCTAGAATACTTTAATCATTGGTAAAATTACTCGCCCCAATATATACTTTTCCAAGCATCAGTACAGCAAATATATGATTTCTTGCCTTACACCATTATGTCAGTTACAAAAATGTCATTTAGGCACGGTAATATTTTTAAAATATCCGATTGAAGTTGATGTTTTTTGCGTAATTTCAAATTCCTTCATATGACTAAAAATGTGAAATTAGCGCCCTTTTGAACACCACGTGAGTTTCGTGACAGTGTCATTCGACAATGCTCGACAAACGGGTGTCCATATCTGACTTCATTGTCGAATTTTGTTGAGTGTTGCCTGAAGTCACGTGCATAAATGGGCGCTAATGATAATCCATTTATCGAAGGAAGACACTAAACCCAAATATATTCACGCATACTTCACGTGATCGGATTCCGGAACGAGGAGCTAACACTAACAGCAGGCGAGGTTGCATGCACCGTCCTGACGTCCTCTACTCCACTTTTGGCATTGGTCCTGCATATGGACCGATTATACCCAATAACAGTTACGCTCTTCGTTTCTTAAAATAGACCAATATGCTAATCACGTACTGAACGCTTGTTGGTTATTGTTTTGGTTTAATGCATTTCTAGGATAAATAGACTATAAACGTCCAAACTTCATTCATATACCTACCTACTCGTTCATTCATAATTTGCTTTGATCGGGTTTTGAAAAACTGTGTGGTTTTGTTTTTGCAAATGTTCTGTGATATATTTCGGTAAAAAATATTTGCTGTAATTGAAGGCTATGGAACACTAAGAGAGGACAAAACTGCGGTTAACGTAGGCTCAGACCCTAGTGATGTCTGCAGCCATTCCAGCCCAGAGTTGCCAGCGAGTCCTGTCCATAAAACTCTGGGACATACACATTCATCCGAAGATTTGTACAGTTGGATGGCTAAACAAGACGCCGTCACTTCAAATTTAGAAGGTAGCTATGAAGGATTCAACATAAAATATTGCCTAAAATATTATAAAGCAGTACCGTCAGTCGTTCTATGGCCTCCTTGATTTTCATTGTTTTTCCTGTCCTTCAGAAGGGCAGGGGTATTTCTAGATTTCTCTATTTTGGAGTTATGTTACAAATGTCTGTTTGCATCAAATTGTTCATGCTCTTGATTTATATCATCTGTTTTATCAGCCTGAAATCTCCTACAGTTCATAAAGAAAAGATAACCTCAAAATATGAGAGCGCTGACGCTGACACGGAATAGTAGAAAACTAGAAATACCACAGCCTTTCTGAAGGAGAGAAAATATTATGCTAATCCAGGAGGCCATAAACGCGTCCTACAATCGTAGGTACCAAAATCCTTGACCAGTCTCGCAGAAGAAATTGAATGTGTCGTTTCAGGTTGTCTTGAATCTAAAATATGTGACACGCTTCATACTGAATCATCTGGTGAACCAGGTACCTTACCCAGAGAGGAAATACCAACGCATGAAGCTCCTTTGTATCCCATACAAGATTCAGTAAGGTTACTGGATGCGAATCAAATATTCCAGCCTCTCTTAACTGCCTTGGGTGTCATGCCTCAACAATTAAGGTTTACCACCATGTCAGAATCTGGTGAGTCTCGTCATTTACATCGCATTATTTTGATTCCTCTTTAAGAATCAATGCCTAATAAGATGGAGAGATGTCAAAGTATTTTTGTTAATTAGTTGCCTAAGCATTTATAGCCAAAGGACATCCTGTTTTTAAATATTAATCTGATTAGATAAATTGATTTGAGTCTAACCTACTGTATTCAGGCGCAGGTAATGATGTAACAACACTAGACGCGCTAGGGTCTAACTTTTGCTTAGTTGGCAATATGGAAACAATGAGAATTGATATCGTTGTTTCGGAGTATGGAAAGGTTGAGAAAAAGAAGGGGAAAAACAAAGGGAAGAAGCTGTATGTTGAAGTGAACAGTGGTAAGTTAGTAACGGCATTTGTCCTGTCAATCAGTGAATAATTAGTGGTATGAGTAGTTTGTAGCTTTTCTTAATGTAAATTGAGAATCATATAGAGCTTTAAAAATTACGTAGACTCGACGACGATTTTCTGCTATTACTTACCATTAATGATTTTAGATGATTCACCGGCGTTTGTCTGCGAGAAAGTATCTGTAGAAATAGAAATAGACCGAATGACTGACATGGCTGTGAACGAAATGATGAAGACAAAGAACGTCCTTTACATATCAAGAGGGCAACTCAAGAATCATACAAGCACAGTCATTAACTTCACCATAAGCGTGCGAACTATACATCAGAGGGTCAACATGCCTTTGCTGAGATTACTTCATCAGATAAGCAACATGTATCAGAACGTTAAGGATACTCAGAATGAGTTAAGGGAGCAACAGCCTGTTGAAACCAGGGCCAGGCCAAAGATAAGCTCTAATGACCATGCAGATGTCAAGCATCATTCTTCAAGTAAGTGATAAATGATTATGTTGAAATTTAAATTTTGGTTCAATGATAATTATATGGCTTCAGTGTAACTGCCAAAGAATACTTACTTTCTCTGTATGTTGCTATCTTTCAGCTTCTGACATTCACTACCATCAGACAACTGACGTAAGCAAGCAGCTAAGCCTCAAAATCTCTGATCCAGGCTCATATTCTTCTCAGCATAAACCTGTCATTTCTCCTTCTCCAAGCATTCGTTCTAGACCACAGAGCTTTGCTCAGAAACTTAGGTCTACTGGAAAGGTAAGCACCACAATCACATTTTGGTATAACCAAGGTTCATGAATTATTTAATTTTAACTAGGCTGTCAAAGGTTACGTGAATCTAAGTGAAGGTGCTGGAACTCCCGTCACCATGTCAACTCCATCAGGTTCAGCCCTGGAACATATTACAGTATCATCAGACAAAAGTACAGGGAGATGTTGGAAGACAATTTACTATCTCTTGGAACTGTATGCAAATATGCCAGATACTACCACTATAAGACATAGATTCTCCATAGGAACAAACGATATCTCCGAACATTATAAAGGAAATAGAAAGTATGATATTTTGACAGAAATGTGTTCTAATGAGGATATCGAGAAATCTGATGGAACTGTGCCACCGCAAACTGTTAAGGATTCGAGCAAATCTACAGCAGGTATATAGACATTTTAATGTCTTTTTTACTAACTATGGGCTTTTGCACAAAAAAATGATGCAAAGTGTGTTAACTGTTATTGAAAGCCTTTATTAATTTTCAGGGGCTGCGAGCAATGAACACACCAAGCTGGTTGTATTTGGTGTTGCGCGAATTCACAGAACCAGATTGCTAGCAATGCTGTCTGGTTTGAAACTAGAAGCGGAAATAACAAGTTTGCATTCCAGCTTGACTTGCAGAAAGAAATCTATTCCGCAGATGTTAGAATGTTCTCTGACCGGACAGATAGGTAGAACAATGATTGTTCTTTTGGAAGGTGTAGCTCCCAATCAACAAACTGTGGTGAAAATTACAATAGGTAAAGTATACTCGGAACTCTTGTTAGTGGCACTAGAATTTTCGCTGGTCTAAAATTTTCAGTAGCTCTTATTTTTCATGGCTGCATCCCATTTTTGGGGAAAGTTGAGAGATGTTTTAGTTCTTTCGAGACTTCTATGTACTCATAATTAAGAAAATGTTATACTGAATCTGTCAACTTGACATCATATTTTTCAGGTAAGTCTCAAGCGCTATACTCTAGCATAACAAAACGCCAGAAAGATAAGAATTCTGGCTTGCTAACGGTAGGAGCTGTAAATATCGACATACCACAACACCCTGTAGCTCTACACGGTATGGTGACGAGAGGTAGTAAACAACTCAGTTCTACTCTTCAAGAGTTGAGGGTTACAAGAACGTCTAGCAGGTTGAGTAGGGTACCTGCTGAGGATGAACAACAAAGCTCGCCGAATCATCATCCTAGAGATGATCCATTGCCTGCTGTACCAGCGGTGAAGCCTAGTGTTGCGGAAAAAGGATTATTACAGCCTCTTGTGATGCAGTTTTCATTTATATTACAGGTAGGTCAAATCAAATGTGGAATAAGACCTAAAATAATCTTGTGATATAATATAGGTTTGAATAGTGACTTAATACGTAAAACAGACTGCATACAATTTTTGGGACTAACCAATCATGTAGAGCAATTGATTACTTAATTGGCAAATGTTTCACATATTATAGGAACAGTTAGTTACAACCCACGAAAAAGCACAGCCTTAAGTAGTTACTTTGCATTATTCGAAAGTAGATTAACATACAGCATTCCCTTTTGTGAGTCTGTTCCCAAATTTACTTGAATAAGGTGTTTATACTTCAAAGACGATACATAACCAAAAGCAAATCTAGGCCGTTATTACTAAATCTTAAGATTAATGCTGTTAATTTTTAAAAATTAATCTAAATTTGAAACATTAAGATATTAGGAGAAAACATCTCACAAATCAACACTTGTCGAAGATTCAATAATTCATAATGATCTGAAAATTTCCGTGGGCCTCTCTGATGCTATCAAAATGATATTCCGCTGTGAACTCAAAAATATTCTAATAAATAATCCATATTATACATTGTATGAGTTTTACAATACATTTACTTAAGATCCATATAATTTAATTTCAAGTTAAATTTCTCTTTAGGAATGATTATATTCTTCACACAATAAAGCCAATTTATATATATATATATATATATATACAGGGTGTCCGCAAAGTTGAGGTTTTCCTTTTCAGAAACAACTACCCTTGAAATAACAAAGGTAATGTGTAGTGAAACGAGGGCCACCAAGTAAAAAAAAATAAAGGAATAAGTACTCACTCTCCAGTTGACGAGAAGGGCTAAGTACTTCTCTGCCCGCAATCATACCGCTCCAACAGAAAATGAAATCAGCTGATGCACTACCAAGCAGACGCACCATGCCAGCCCAAACATTCACCGAAAATGTTTGTTGACAATGTGCCCGACGGACAGCGTGCGGATTTTCTACTGACCAAACATGAGTGTTGCGAAAGTTATTCACCCCATTACGCGTGAATGTAGATTCGTCTGTCACCAATATGCACTTCAAAAAGTCCGGATTATTGTCATGTTGATGCAACAACCACTCACAAAACCGCACTCTTGCTGGAAAATCGTCAGGTTGAAGGGCTTGTACACGTTGGACGTGAAACGGATACAGCCCCTCTTCACGCAGCGTTTGCCATACTTTAGTTTTTGATACTTGCACTTCTCTAGCCACTTCTCTTGTAGTGCTTGTTGAGGGATTCTCGTCTACGCGATTATCTCTACAGGCGTGACCGTAACCGTCGGTTGAAGGTTGCATACTGACCTGACACACTGACCCCGACCCCCGACCCAGTTCTGTCGTTGAGCCAGTGACATTGTACCACTCCGTGATGTCGCGGCTACAGGACGGTATTCAGATATTTTTATATGCATTTTTTTAGGCACAGGGTAATGTCGCAGCGCAATGGCAGTCGGTCTTTCTGGACGCTGGCTAAGCAGATTGAAAAGAACTTCTCACACAGTAGCCTTCCACCACTTACGTGTCAGGATGGAACTATTGTATTCGACTCAAAGGCCAAGGCGGAAGTGCTAGCCAAGATCTTTGCTGCCAACTCCACCATGGACGTCCCCACCAACGCCCAAGTGCCGTCAATTCAAAGGGTTCCCCACACTATGCGGGAGGTAACATTCAGGCATAAGACCGTAAGACGAGTGCTCTTGTCGCTCGACATCAACAAAGCTTCTGGTCCGGACTTGATTCCTGCCATTGTACTGAAGAGATGTGCAGCGGAGCTTGCTCCAGTTCTTTCACGTCTCTTCCAGATATCTTATGAATCCGGCACCTTCCCAGAAAACTGGAAATTTGCTCTTGTACAGCCCATCCCAAAAAAAGGATCTAAAACCGACCCTTACAACTACAGGCCTATAGCTCTGCTTTCTGTTATAAGTAAAGTGATGGAGAGGTGCATAAATCGCGAGCTTCTGGACTACCTCGAACGTCACAGCTTGATTAACGACAGGCAGTACGGTTTCCGGCACCAACGATCCACAGGGGACCTCCTAGCTTACGTCACGCAACTGTGGAGTAAACTCATCCAGTCTCATGGTGAGGCTCATGTCGTTGCTCTTGACATCACGAAAGCGTTCGATCAGCTGTGGCACGCTGCCCTCTTAAGCAAACTTCCATCCTACGGCGTCCCAGAAAAGCTTTGCAGATGGGTGGCTGACTTTATCTCTGGCCGCAAGATATCCGTCGTAATTGACGGATTCTCCTCTTCATCCCACAACGTCAACGCGGGTGTTCCCCAGGGATCGGTCTTGGCTCCAACACTGTTTCTCTTACATATCAACGACCTCCTTTCCTGCACGATCAACCCAATCCACAGCTTCGCTGATGACAGCACTCTACATGCAGGAATTCAGAGTGACAAGCCGATCTCTGCCGCTGAGCTGGAAAAAAGAAGACTAGCGACGACTTCTTCTCTGACAAGAGACCTGGAGGCTATCACTGCTTGGGGACGCAACAATCTTGTACAGTTCAATGCTTCCAAAACACAGTACTGTACTTTGACGAACAAAAAGCGTCCTAGCGCTCATACAGTTTCGATGTACGGTCGAGTTCTACCAAAGAGCCATTCATTTCGGCTGGTCGGAGTCCAGATCACCGAGGGTCTGATCTGGCACGAACACATCTCTTCAATAGCTGCAGCTGCTGGGAAAAAGCTAGGCTATTTGTTTAGGGCTAAGAAGTACTTTTCTTCGCATGACCTTCTCACTCTATACAAGGCCCAGATAAGGCCTAGCCTCGAGTATTGCTCACACATTTGGGGTGCTGCCGCCCCGACTACATTGTCCATGCTCGATGCTGTCCAGAGGAGGGCGGTTCGACTGATCGATGACTCTTCCCTAACAGACAGTCTCGGGACTCTTTCGCACCGGCGGGCCGTCGGCGATCTAGCTCTTTTCTATCGCTACACCAACGGGCTTTGCTCCTCAGAGCTCTCTTCCATGATGCCGCCGCGCGATGTGCCTGCCAGACAGACTCGCCTGACTTCGGCGTCCCATCCTAACCGTGTCAAACTTCGTACATCCAGAACTGGCCGATACGACCGCTCCTTTGTCCCGAGGGTGTCTAGATTGTGGAACAATCTACGGGAGGAAGCTTTTCCCAGTTCTACTAACCTTAGGCAGTTCAAAAATCGTATTAACAAAATTTCTTTGGGATCATCATAGCAGCCGCGGTGTTCCGGCATTTAGGCTTCTGCCTGCGCGGCTGTTTCGATAAAAAAAAAAAAAAAGATGTTGCAGAGCCCTTTATCTCGGTTCCGTTAAGACATTGGTGTATATGGTACTAAGAAAAATTGCTTATGTTTTCAAGATCTACACGTCGTGTAAAGGAAAACCCCAACTTTGCGGACACCCTGTATATATATATATATCTACAGGGTGTCCCGCGAGGTAAGGGACAAGATCAATTCCAGTCGAAAAAGTCGTATGAACATTGGTCCGCAAATGCTTCCTTATCGAGATATGATTTTTTTATTTTTATACGAAAACCACAATATTGTTCGTATGAAAACAACTGTTTACAATAATTAAAGTCATGTTTGTTTTTACAAGTGAAGAATACGGTGACATGATGTTTGAGCATCAGTGAACGAATAATAGCGCCGCCGGTATCCAAATCGAAGAGTACTTGACAGAAGGGTATTTGGAAGAGTTTTGGCACATGTGAAAGTAACAGGATCGGTTCCAAATGCTACTGTAACACGTCCATCAGAAGCCCATGACTTAATACTGGATAGTGTTGAACGGTCACCATCAACCAGCGTCCGCAGAATATCACGTCGCACTGGTGTTAGCCAAATGACTGTGTGGAGAACAATGCATAACTTTGGTTTGTACCCATTTCAGCTGCAACCTGTCCAAGATCTGCTGCTCGCTGATCCGGACCCTCGTATGCAGTTTTGTAACTGGCTACTCGCAAATCGTAATCTTGTTAAAAATATTTTGTTCGCCGACGAATCTACTTTTACTTGAGACGGCGTCAATAATTTGAGGAATTCCCATTCTTGGCAATTTGAAAATCCCCATGCAACATCGAACGGAATTTCCAACACTGTTTTTCTGTTAATATCTGGTACGGTTTGTTAGAGAATCACCTAGTGGGCCCTTTTGTGTTTGACTGTCGGTTGACATCTGAAGTTTATCTTCAATACTTACGAGAAGAACTGCCTGTGTTGTTAGAGGATATTCCGCTGCAGAAAAAATAGATGTAATTACAGCATGACGGCGCTCCGCCTCACAGTGATAGAAATGTGACTGAGTATTTAAATAACACTTTTCCTGGGCGTTGGATTGGACGAGGGGCCGCAGCTTCTTGGCCACCCCGCTCGCCCGATTTAAATCCCTCGGATTATTACTTGTGGGGACGTATGAAGCCTTTAGTGTATGCAGAGAAATCGCATACCAGGGCTGAACGGCTGCGTAAAATTACTGATGTCGCTGACGACATAAGAAGTAATCGTCTTGTTATTGGGAAAGCCACCAGTCACATTATTAAACGGGCTAGACTATATTTATAGTGTGAAGGTGGACACTTTGAACAACTATTGTGAATAGGTGTAGTTATTTTTATTGTACCTAGTAATTTTGTGTTAAATAAAAGTAATTTTCCAACAATATTGTGGTTTTCCCAACAATAGCACCCTAAAAATAAAAAAATCATTATCTCGATAAGGAAGCATTTGCGGATCCATGTTCATAGGACTTTGACACACATTGATCTAAGGAACACGTAGAAAAATCGTGTCCCTTACGTCGCGGGATACCCTGTATATGTATATAAAACAAAAATCTCGAAAACTATTAGCTTTAGACACTTCTAACAAGTAAACCTTTTTTATTGTGGAAATACGAGAAAATAAGATTTTTCGGTCAGTTGTTGCATACAGGGTAGCACAAAGAAGTTATGATAATATATTTCCCGAAATAGTGCTGGGCGCCCTCTAGAAGCTTGGCTATAAAAAATAACGGATTCTTGTTTCTCATACTAGAAAAATATAAAATAAAATTGTAACTTTGACACCCTGTATCTCGCAAACTATCAACTTTTGGACTAAGGTATGCTTAGGTCAATACTCAAATTTTGGTCTGTATTATCTCCAGTTTCGAGATTTCCCAACCTTTCGCACCTGTATATCTATATAATCACCTAAATTTTGCAGAGTTTGAGCATTACCGCCGCTCTCTTGCCATCTCTACAAGCACAGTATAAAATGGATCAAGTGAACAGTACAGGATTTACTGGTAGTAAGGCTAAATTCACCATAGATTTACCACATCACTCTTTGAGCTTCACTACCAAATTGCCTCAGGTAAGTTGACAACTTGAAGATTTCCGAAAATGACTTGTTTGCTTTCCGTCTCCTGTAACCATTGCGAACCACAGACAGCGCTGCTTCATGCTCATTAGTAACTCATCAATGCGGTATATTTCTTAGGTCTAGTCGTGGAGGCAGACGAAGCGGGAAGCAAACAAGTGGATGTGGTCTTTTGAAGCACTCAAAACTTTGAAGAATTGAAGATCAAATCAGATAGATAACGTTCCCCATTCTCCATTCACTCAGCAAACCGATTTCTTTCTTTGTCAAAACTGTTGACAGCATTCAGCATAGTAGGCGTGATATTGGCAACTTCTTCCGTGATGCTGGTCTTCAAATCTTTGGGGTTCTTGGACGGCTCGCATGAAACCGGGGTTTCAAAAACCCCATAGAAGAAAATCACAAGGGGTCAAATCGGCGAGCGGGCCGGCCACTCCAAATTGCCACTAATTAAAATGGGCTTCATCGATAAAAAACTGTAGCATCCTCAGGAACGACTTTGAGAAGATGCTCACACACGTTCATCCGGGAATTTAAGTTACGTTTCAGAAATTTCCTGCACAATTTCGATCTTGCAAGGATGGAAATGGAGATCATCATGAAGAATTCTCCTCACAGAACGATCGGAGAGTCCAAATGCAGACGCATGTTTTTGCGCAGAACGCCGTGGTGATCCTAATACTGAAGCTTTCACTGCCTCAATTAGTTCAGGAGAACTAATGGACCGGAGTCATCTGTATTGTCGAACTTGCATTTGGTCTGAACGTAGTGACGCACGATATAACAAATGATTTCCGGTCCGGGGCAGGGGCCAACGGGGCTAAAGTAAAGCGATTCCGAAATTCGCGCTGGGTTGTAGGATTAAACGGCAAAATCATGCTCCTCATTGTTACAATGCATGATGCTGTCTAAACTGTTTCGAATCACAACTTTATATTCCCGCTTGTCGAACTAGACCACTAGCGCTCCGTTACGACGTCAACCGACTGAATGGCGCTCATTTAAAAAAAGGAAGTTATGCTGCTACACCCTGTACTTGCGCAAAACTTCATTTGTGATAGCAGCACATACGCGGTAGGTCCGATAATATATTCACTATGAGCTAAGTGCATAGTGGAGGTAATTAAATCGATCGCCAAAAAAGGCAACCTTGCCGAAATATATGGTGACATATGTGTCACGTGGCCTGGCAATGATGCAAATATTTCGATGGCAGATCAAAACAGCACTTTCAGTTTCATATTCAGTTTGTTCGAACATCAAATTGAGTACAAGTTTAGTATTTTTATTCTTATTCGTTAATTTTTATATTACCCAGGTCAAGCACACATATTTCTGTCCGATATCGAATAGGTGGCGTTATCACCGTACGTACAGCGTATAGTTATCCTTTGGCAAACGAGTTTCTTCTGAATGCTTTATTGTAAATTGTATTTTAAGGGATACAACCAAACAGATAAGACTGAGGCCAATCTACCATCTGAGGCGAGCATTGCACTGCCAGCAGTCCACGTAGTTGCTGAATACATTCCAGAAAATGCTGCTAGTGGTTTGAGAGAAGGGCACAGAGCTCCTGAAGGAGTGGTATTCAGACAAGGAGGATATCTTAATGCCAACGCAGATATTGGTGTTTTCGAACATAGTCTTACCACGGACTTGTTGAATCATTTGGTGTTTGTCCAAAAAGTATTCATGAAGGTACAGTCTATTGTCTATTCATTGTTTGTGGTCAATTTCTACATATTGTTTTATCTAGGAGGTGAATGAAGTCGTGCAAAAGGTCTATGGAGGCGAACGCCCTGTCCCGATATGGCTGGAAGATACAGAAGAACCGTCAACATTGAACAGACTTCTATTTTCTCTCGTTATAAAGATTCAAAGAATACAACTCACTGCTACTACCGCTGGAAGTTCGGCTGTCAGACTTGAAACCGGTAAGCTTCGAATTACATACAATTCGTATAAAATCCAAGAATGTATAAAAACATTTTCCTACGAGTCAGGCATTGCACAATAAAATTGGAGCTAAGTCCGAACATTAAGGGTTGTATTCGCTTGTAATACCAAACTGTAACGAATCGCTGTCAGAATCTATAGTTCTCTTATTGTGATTAAATGAAAATGAAACGTCTTTCAAGTATTAGCATTGGAATCATGGAGCCGAACGTAATCCTTATACTAGATAACAATTTGCTGGGCGCTCTCTAAAACCAGTGCTCAAATGTCAGAACTGACGAAGCGAACGTGATGAAGCAGTTCAGTACCAATCGACGTAAACACAATATTTCGTATTTTTTTTCTAGGAGCTGTAGTTCTTGAACTGTCTAACAGAGTCCAAAACGTATCTGGTTCTACGCAAAGTAACACCGCAGCAAGACTGTTTGGCAAGGCACAAGTAGACCTGAACCTTTCTTTAGGCCAGATAATCAGAAACGCCGTTTTCGAAGAGGCAGATATCGAATATCAACCTGTTGCTTTCTTTAATACGAGGATTGGACTGAGAAATGCGTTCCAGGTATGTAACACATACGACTTCCTTAGGCTACAAAATATGAACATTATTTTTGTTTTCAGGATGAAATAATTGAAGGTGAAGACAAAGAAGTAGTCCTTATAACTTTGAAACGCCCTCTGATCTATATTCAACCGGTTGCTGTTGATAAGGCTATTCTAGTCTGGCTCAATTACAAGAATGCATATGACTATTGGAATGAAAAACGTGCTAATCTGAATAAGGAAGTTCTGAATGCCACTCAACAGGTAATAAAAAAATCAAATTCATGTGAATTAGGGTCCAGCTGTAAAGTAGACGATTCGACTAAACTTTTGTGACTTATTCCTGAAAGGTCTGCTATTATTATATTTATTATTATTAAATAGATGTTATACATTTTAAATGTTCCTTCATATTACAGGTATATGAGAAATTTCAACTAGGCCAACTGACAAGTCAGTTGAGTGCTCCACATTTGGGTACTCTATTCCTCCAGCTCACAGTTGAAGACATGGGTATTTGTTTACCTTTGAATCCGCTACCATTGGCTAGCTGGAACCAACGAAATGTATTTGAAGAGAGCAGAGGAGCTGTGGTGATTACATTAGAGAACACCAGCATATCAGGTATGACGTGAAAAAATGTCTGACTTGTCAGATTTCATTTAAAGAGGAAAAGTTACAATGTTTGTTGATGATACCACGATTACTGTATCATGAGGAACAACATTTCAAAACGCCTTTTGTCCAATTTGGTCAAAATCCAGATTGAAGCGGTTTCAGAAATCATTTGTTAGGTTCTACATTCCTATATAATTAAAACATTCAAAGACGCATTATATATAATTGACCTTCATTTACATCGAAATGCATTTTGTCCACAGATATATTCGGATTAAAACGCATTATGTAATTTCACCGCTAGAACATATATCGATCAAAACAGCTTCGTGACTGATGTTAAAAATCCACATTTTTATGTCTGGAATAAAACATAAGCTTTAAGAGGTGCTGAAGAACTGCCTTCAGCTCAGTAGATGTTTTAGACAAATTACATATGAATAATAAAAAGCATATTGTCACTATACTATGCTCCCGTATATAACCTTTTGTCTTAGCCTACGCTGGGGTAGAGTTACAAGCATCAACGCAGTTCTTATATAACAAAAAGGGATAATTAAATTGTTGTTCAACCTTAGTTTTGGCGAAAGTTGCAGATACACGTTTATCCAGTTTTTTGTATTTGCATATACAAGTTAACTATATAAAGCGAAACATCAACGATTTCAGCATACAAAATGAACATCACAACTATAAGACCAGACATTACATTTTGAAAGCAAATCGTTTTAGAACTATGACATATATAAAGTCACCCCAGTTCAACTACATATCATTGTATATACTCCTTCCTCGAGAGATCTGCGAGATATAGAGAGCTATATCAAATTTAAAAATAAGGGTTTTAAGTATTTAAGTGAGAAATGCTTTTACTCTATAAATAAATTTTTAAATTTTCCGAACCAGTAAGCAATATATTTTTATATAGTGTTCTAACAAGTAGCTATTGTACTCTAGTTTTGCTACTTTTCTATTGTCATGCCATGTGAATTTTATGTTTGAAATTTGGCTAATTATACTACTACTACTACTACACGTACAGAATTTACAGTGTACAAATTTCTTTCAGCTTGCAACTCTGGCTCGCTCGTAAGTAAAGGCAAATTTTCAAATTTATGTCTCCGTTTCGCCGAAGATTTTGAGAATTCTTTAGACGACTGGAAGCCTGATATGAATGATTCCTCAATCATGAATTTATGTGTCGTCAGTGATGGTACTTATGAAGTGTGTAGCAGAACCATTGCTGCCAAACAACCAAACGGTAGGTATAGGATTTGAACTGTTGAAAAATAATATGTAATCAGTCAACTTTTCTAACTTTCGTAATATTTTATAAAAATATCTTTTAAATGCAGATAACGCGAAATGGATCTTGAACGTCCAATGGCAAATGGAAGGTGTAGATATTCACTTAGATACAAACGTTGGAAAGCAACTGTCTGCTCTGGGTTATACTTTGACAATGCTGACGGGTGCAGAAGATACAACCATTCCCGTTGACTATGACAGCGATGAGAATGACGCAACAGATGGTACTAGAGCTTCGCAGGAGAGCATCTTACCATCATTCATGTTTGATCCTTCGTTAGACAACAAAAGCAGGTGAGTGCTTGATAATATCACACAAACTAGACATTAAAAGTCTATAGCAAATTTTGCTATTGAAACACTTTTTGGATAAGTCCATATGAAAAATTTACACAAAATCATACTTCCTTCACCTAATCGCGAAAAATCTCGAAAATGAGATATGCGTTTTGGATGTTATATTTCATATACATTTTTCCATCCATTTGCTCTTGAAATTTGGGGAAATTACAAACTAACGTGTCGCTACGAACTTACCCCTGTGCCCACAGAATCCTTTCTGCGACGGTCGCCTAATTTATCACCGCCAAACTGCTCGAGCTGACCAGCATAGAAAGGCTGTCGTTGCCAGATGGTCAATATCTTCAGTAGGGACAGGGAAGATGTTTCTTGATCGCAGAGTTATCAAATGGGTGAGATTATGGACTAATCGTACGGATCCGTTTGGCTGACTTGATCCATTTAATTCTTTTTTTGTGTTATACATGTCGCAGTCATTTTTTTCTCTTTACCAACATATGAAAACATTGCGTGGAAGTGCGGAGTCAACCTACTGGACGCCATTTTTTGTAGGTCAAAACTGATCGAGAAAGAAATGAACGAACAAGCGAAGATCATCAATGATCTGCGATCACTAGGTGCTTCTCATGGAACCATAGAAATGGAGATGAAACGGTTACATGAATTGGAGACAATGGTTTATAAAGATTTTAGAAGGTAATTGTTCTATCTAAGCGCTCTAATTTCTTTATAGTAAACTTTATGATTCTAGCTTTATCCAAAAATGCTACTGTTGAGTTCTCCGTGTTTCTGTCATTTATTTAATTTTGAACACGCATGCTTTACCTACATATCGTAACAGCTATTAGCTTGACTTACCTAAATTTCCAGGGACATGATCCAGAAATTACGCAGGCAGAGTGTTAGAGCATCTTCAATCAAAGGCAAATTTGGTTTAGGCTCAAAAACCAGCGCTTTCCGATCTAAATCATTCGTGGTGCCCAGTCCGATGCCCGAAAGTAGGGACAGGTAAGTTAATATCGCGAAAAATATACGTATTTCTTGATATCTCTAAGCTTGCATCTATTATAATTTTAATTTTTCTATTTTATTTTCTCCGTGTGTAGGTCGAAATCTTTAGTAGTAACAACTAGCAGCATTGCTGGCATAGTTAAGAGGTTCGTACCTTCGTGCCAACGGCTTGCATGTCGACTCGCTTCAGTTTTCTCTTATTTTTCTGTTGCATGACCTACAACTAATTATACTACTACTTGTCGTTTTGTTTTATCAGGGATAAAACTGTCTCGTATATTTGGGTGAATTAAAAACAAAAGAAGATTACAGTAAAATAGCTTGATTATTTAACGTGAGCGTTCGAAAAATAACTGTTAAACAAACTACTGAATGGGGTAGAAGTTGCTGAGATAACTACGCCTGCAACATATGCCGATGTCATAAAACCTGTTTAGGCAACTACATTCTATCTAATTATTAAGAAAGTTTTACTGAAATCTTTAAGAGTTTTTGTCCAGGTTGATGAACACATTGTAGCTTTGGTACATGTATATGCAGATTACAGGTACGAAAACCCCAGAATTTTGGAATGTTGAATATAATACTTTCGAATATGATGGAATGAATATGAGGGCTATAAGGAAAAATAAAAAAAATAACTGGAATAGCAGGTGTCAACTAAAGTTATTCACCTAGTGAAAAATCACAATTGCATTCTTAATAGCTGAAATATATGCTTAACATCCATTTTTTAAGGATCTTCCTCGTTTCGCTCGTGTGTTCGAAAAATAACCTATTTAAAATTCGTACATTTAAAGAGAACTCATTCAAATTCTCTATATCTCCGACCGAAGAAATCATGCAATATGTGTTGATTTTTATTCCGGATAACCATTTTATGTCAAACTGTTAACATCAGAAAATAAAGATTGTTTTCTTTACATCTGTCCGAAGCCTAACCTCGATGGCAGAAGTAAAACATGGAAGAATGATTTCGTTATGCTAGAATCCATTACGTCAACTTTAAGTCTAAGTAAACCATGTTTCGTCACTTTTTGTTCATAGAAAGAAGGAATCACTCGCAGAATATACTTTTTACAGGCAAAATATTGATATTCTGTAAAGATAAAATTTTTGGAAAATATCCTATAATCAAGCTAATACCGACAACCGTCCAATGTGGGTGATACTTTTGTGATATTGGTGGTGTCTTATTGTTTTTTACCATTGTTGTTTAATGTAGCTGGGATTGTCATACAACTTTTAAGAAAAATCTTATCTCCGTCACAAGCTTTTTAAAATTTGGTACATAAACTAATCTCTGTGACTTGGATCAAGAAATTACATCTGCATGCATTGAAGTATTCGCTTTTTGTTTGTAACTCTACTCGTGTAAGGGTATAGATATATATTCGGATGACATTAGGATATTAGACCCAACCAGATCTAAATTTTTCAACCAATAACAAACATCAAATTTCTTATCGTTCCATACTATTTGCTTCCCCTCTTTTTCACTGACTTTGTCTGGTATTAAAGCTAACCTACAACACTTTAACCAACAGCAAACGTTTAACGAATTTCTTTGACATACAGACTGTCGGTTTTTTCCCTATAATCTGCATATACAATTACAACCTGAGGTTGGCTCCCGCTCATACAACAAGGTCATAGCAAAACGCAATAGACACGTATAAAAACACACACACACACACATTGTATCTCGTTTGTCTGTCCAAACACCCGTCACCACCTGTGGTATCTGTATGTACAAATTCTAGCCCCGAAATAGCAAAAAGCAGCCTAGACACGAACATAGCTAGCAGCTACGAAAGCTCGCCTAGATCGGGGCCTTCGCGCTCGGCCTCGTTGCGCATCAAAAGTGGAGAGGCGGGACCCAGAGTCACGTTCAGCGATACCCAGACGATGGGCAGGTAATGTACTTTTCACTCTCTTGCTTCAGTAAGGCTGTAGTTTGTTAAGGGGCGAATGTATATTGTCTATTGTTATCTTTATAATGAAGAAATGAACTATTAATAAAATATTACAACTTATAAATTACTACACACTGCGCAACTGTCATCCATATAAGGAGCTCGCAGATTGGATAGCGTGTCGTCGTGGATTGTTAAACATTCTGTAAAAATTATTCGTGAGTTTTAGAGCTGCATTGTTTTATAGTATTGTATAAGTAGTGATTACTGTATCACAATGAGGATGGTTTGATAAAGAACCAATGTTATAAAACATCTGTCCTTTGCTTATGGACATTTTCAACTTGTTGATCACGTTATGGTATAGTCAAAGAGAAGCTCAAGTGCAAAATTTATAACTAGGCGCTAGTTCCGTTATTTAAGTTGCAGAGTACGCTCATAAGCTTATAATATTCATGTAACTCGTAATTTCAAAAATTCAGGTTTTTCAACTAAATCCGTTATTTTGGTACAGCTAGAAAAAAAATCACTCTACTTGAGACAATTTTTCATTCGATCATCTTAAATTTTGAGTGATTCAACTTGATCAGATCACAGCAGGCATTTTAAAACATAGTTCATTTCTCCAAGTTGAAATATACGTTATTTTTTGTGTTTTTGAGTATCATATGCATAATTAAAATCTTTAATTTCGTTTTTAGGCAAAAATCACTACCCAGTGCTGGATCCGATCTGAGTCTACCAGAAACACAGCTTGCAGACTGGGTAGACCAAATAGATATAGATGGAGAGACGGTTACACTTAGAAAGAAGTTGCCTGCATCATATGAATCTATGGAAGGGTAAGTTTATTTCTGTGTACATAATTGCTTCTCGGTCATATCAAATTTACAATTTTCATATCTGAGCTCTCGGCGGAGGTGAAGAATATTTTTTTTAGTTCAAATCTGATGGATTCTTTCGCAATGGACCAACAACATCCAAGCGGCTCTTTCACCAACTCTCAGGCTGGAATGGCTCAGAAACAGCAAGAACCTAATATCGATCTGGAACTGGATGTTAAAGTGTTCATCAATAGTGGAAAATGCGTCTTACATACCAAGGATTCTGTCCGGGAAGAAGAGAAAATGTAAGTTAACTTACTCATTATAATCATGTTGGGATATCAGCTCTTGTTCTATTGAATTTTGATGTAATTAATTTTTGTTCAGAAGTCGCATGAGAAAAGATCGTAGCTGCTCTGCAGGCTTACTAGAATTTCCTTCTTCTTCTTCAAGCCCTGATGCTGTGAGAAGGAATAAAGAAAAGTTCACTAGTCAAGGAAGTTCGTCAAAGCTCAGGTCTACACCGCATAGTTCGTTGTTAGATGTTACTATTTTCCACATACCTGGGTTGGATGTCAAATTACAGTATCAGTCAAAGGTAAGGTCTTATACAGACATAGATATTTTTCTGACCTTTGAAACGTCTCTGGTGGTTTTCAAATATCCTCATTACGCGTATTAACATCACATCCTTTATATATTTTTATGTACAGGTACTAACAGAAGATGTGACAGATCGACCAGACTCCTCAGACTTTGATAAGGCTTTTCAGCCTCAGTCAGATGCTTTTGCAACGAAAATATCCCATAGTGACTCAGAGCAGCTGCGTATTGATAGAGCATTCAAGAGACAAGAAACGCATCCAATGGACACAAGATCAAAATATTTCAGTGCTGAATACTGCAACTACGAATTAAAAGGATCTAGCTCTATTCAAGGTATCACAAATCCCAACTATGGACATAGTCCGACATCTAGTAAAACCAATTTGGAGCTGGGTGATTTGACTCCTCCCAACGAAAGTCAGAAGTCATTTTCAGGTTAGGAATACATTTCTTTGAATTGTCTCAATCATACTGCTATATATATATATATATATATATATATATATATATATATATATATATATATTCTTTTAGGCTTGAACATGTCATATGGCAGAAAGTCTGGAGTAAAGAAGGCATCATTATTTGCTTGGATGACACTGCAGAGTGTTCCAGAAGAAACTATTATCAGTCCTCATATATTGGAGTTTTTGGAGCAAACATTGGAGCCCATTCCAATCAAGACTATGAACGAAACAGGTGATAAGCTTAGGCTTATTGTCGAACTCTTGCTCAATAACAAGTATCTGATTTGTTCACAGATTCATCTTTGTTATCAAATGATCAAGACTTAACTAACTATGGCAACTACGTGTATGCCAGCTTTCCTGTGGATGTCATCGTGTATTTCCATATGCAGCCAAGCACATTTCGTTTTAGCTGCCTACCCGTGTCTCGGGTAGAATGTCTGCTGCAGTTACCCTCCTTGGACATTGTATTCAGCAGCAAGCGTGCTGAAGACGAATTGATATACAGCGAGGTAAAAAGCCAATATATTCAATACTAATAGATAAACAATTATTGCTAACAGAAATAAGAGTTGGTTTATTTATTTTTGTTTCCTGGAGGACCATAGGAACCTTAAAAATTTAGACTCCCGCAATAGGGAATATACATGCTTTTTATATATTTCCTGTCTGTTATTTACATTCATATCATACCAAAAATACATATTTCATTCATAGAAATGTCTATATTAATACAGGGTAGGGTGTCCAGTGGAAAGTTCACTTTTTTATGTAAGAAAAAATAACAACCTTAATAAAACGAAAATATTTAATTACATAATTCGGCGGGTTTTATTTCTTAAATAGCATTCCATCCAACTGTTTGCCATCCCTTCGGACACGCTCTTCTAATCGCGCGCGAATTCTGAAACACTCTTGCAGAGTTGCGGAGTGATGTTTATTTCTGGTCGAATGTTGTCTTTAAGCTCCTCCAGTGTTCGTGGATTATTGGAATACACTTTTGACTTCAGATAACCCCACAAAAAATAATCGCATGACGTGAAGTCGGGTGACCTAGGAGGCCAGCGAATGTCTCCAAACTTCGATATAACTTTTTGAGGAAAAAGTGCTTTCACCGTGTCCATCGATTCTCTGGAAGTATGGGCAGTGGCCTCATCCTGTTGAAACCCTGTGTTTCTGTTGAATCGACGTTCTGTTCTTACAATAAGAGCAAAAAAAGTGTCAATCATGTCCTTGTATCACTCGGAATTGACTGTCAACGCATGACCGTTTTCATTTTTAAAGAAATACGGCCCAATAATACCGCTAGAGGATATGGCGCACCAAGCAGTCACCTTTGGACTATGTAGCTATTGTTGATGTTTCTGTTTAGGGTTCGTTGGTGCCCAATATCTGCAATTTTGCTTGTTCACATAACCGTCTAAGTGAAAATGGGCGTCGTCATTGAAAACAACGTTCTCAAGTCTGCGCTGCATAAGAAAAAGATTTAACATCCGTTCAGCACTTTCCTTTAAAGCATGGACTGATTGGATTTTATAAGGATGAAAATCCATTTTCCTTTTTTTCATTATGCCATGCAGTTTTGACCTAGGGATTCCCAAAGCAGCGGAATGCTTCCGTACATAACGCCGAGGATTTGCAATGACCGAATCACTTACTCGACGTACATTTCCTTCGGTTGATACAGTAGGTGTGGGAAAAGGAGTGGGTTGACTAAGGGTAGATCCTGCTTCACGGAACCTCTTAATCCACTTTTTCAAAAGGTTCTTACTTGGGGCATCTGTTGGTCGGCGCATGTTGTATCGTGTAGAAAATTTCCTAAGGGCACCTGCGTATGGATCACCACCAACTTTCCATTGTGACTATTTAACCCGCACGCCGAGCGCGTCGATCAAGACCTCTCCCCACTTCCTCGCATATACGGTTGCCGCGTAATTCAAATTTGAAATGTGAACTTTGTGGTTGGACACCCTATATATAAATAAGTATTTAAAACTGCAATATCAGTGACGTTGATTTAAACGCCACATTTTTGGCACGCATCGCAGTTACGTCATAAATCATGAGATCCAAACGGTATTATACTCTTTGATTATGTTTTGTTTTTACTTCCCATACCACTGGCGACGAAATATTGCAATTGTGAAAAATTTCGAAAAGCTTTTTTTATGTTGTATGACATGTACAGCGTGAAAAACCATATCACTCCCTTCCGTCGGTTTGTCTGTTTGTTGGTCTGTCAGTCCGCCAAATCCTTGCCTCATCTGTAACTTCGAAAGCACCGATCGGATTTTGATGAAATTTTCACATAACATTACTATTATGCCAAGGACGAAAAGACTGTGTAATTTTTGAAAATCGATCCAACAGCTAGGGGCAAAAAACGAAAAAAATCGGTCTAACTTCGTTTTAGAGGACCTGATCATTTTCAAAGAGTTAAAATTGGCGGTTGTAGGGGGTGGGGATGAGTATGTACGAGTATCTCAATTTTTGACGTTGATATATTTATGTATTTCCAACCCCGGTAATTTTACGTACCTTAGACATATTTAACGCATAATAGATTTCCTCGTGCATTTGCCCTTAATTGATAGATAAATATGCTTTATTGTCTGGAGAATACAATTAATACAGCTTGAAACTAAACTATAACATAATTACAAATGTGGATTTTAAGTAGGTGAATTGTAGAACTCACACTTGGTATACTTTTCGGTCGAGATGTCGAGCCAGCCAGTCGAACCAACTAGACCTCCTGATAATAAATGTAAATTTTGTTCGGCTAGTGAAGTAAAATGTGCTAATGACTCTTGTGATGCAGTTCTTCATGCAATTGCTGGAATTGTTGTGTTGAACAAAGAAGATTTCCGCTGCAAAAAATGCTTAGAAGCCAACAACAAGTTTGATAACAATTTGAATATTCATCTTCTGAGGAAGGAAGTTGATTGTCTCTCGAGAGATAAACAGTTATTAGAAAAATGTGTTAGTGAACTAGAATTCTCTAATAATTTTTTGAAAACCCATATGCATCCTAATTCTGCTGTGTCGTCCTGTACTGCCCGTTCTTCGCCGCATTCCTCTTCGACAGTGTCTTACTCTCAAGCAGTGAAAAAGAATGTAAACACATCAGCTGTTTTGGTTATTAAATCAACTGACCAAAATAAGGGTAACGCAGAATTAGAACAAGAGTTGAAATCCAAATTCAGGCCAAGTACTATGAAAGCAAATGTTACTAGTACAAAACTGATCAGGGATGGCTTATTGATTAATTGCGCTGACGTCAAATCTCTCCAAACTCTGAAAGATGGCCGTAAGCGGGAAGCTGGTAATAACTACAGCATCTACCAGCCCAAAAAGCTACGCCCTAGGATTATTGTTCACAGTGTGGATAAATCTGTTGCTGAAAATCCTCAGTTTTCCGAGTTCATTATTGAAGACAATGACCTTGATGTTCCTTCAAGTGACGTTTGTGTTATTTCAAAACTTATCTAAAAAGAGAGTTTTAATCTGGTTTTGGAAGTTTCTCCTTCTGTGTTCAAAATTGTTATGGCAAAGGGTTTTGTTGTACGTTGGATGGAAAAAATGCAGTGTTAAAGAACATTTCAATATTGTTAAATGTTTTAAATGCTGCAAATTTGGTCACTATAAAAAGGACTGTAAAAGTTCATCTGTCATTTGCCCTAATTGCTCTGGCAATCATGAAAAGAGGAACTGTCATTCACCTGATCTTCTCTGCGTTAATTGTAAAGATTCAAATAGCAAGTACAAAAAAAAATAAGCCGATAGATCATTCTGCTCACAGCGTGGAGTGTTCTTTTTACCTTTTTACCTAAATTAGACCAACTTAAATCTAGAATTCAGTATGAAGGATAAAAACTTAATGATTGGTCATCTGAACTGCAGATCTCTTTTCACACATTTTGACGAATTTGCTCAGCTGGTTATGGAAAACAAATTTGATGTTATGTGTGTCTCAGAAACTTGGCTTAATGGTGATATTCCTAGTGAATTAGTATGTATACCTGGTTTTTCGTTATTAAGAAACGATCGTTTAACTAGAGGTGGAGGTGTTGCAGCTTATTACAGGAATACCATGGTCTGTAAGCAGATTCTAGAACATTTTGAAAATACTTGTGGAATTGAGCATATTTGGATATCCTTGAGGGCTGATAAAGAACCAGTAGTAATTGGCGTCGTGTATAGACCTCCATCAAGCAACTGTAATGACTTTTTGAATTTCTTGGACAATGCTCTCTTTTATATTACCCCTCAATTTGAGCACATTGTTGTTGTTGGTGATTTCAATGTTGACCAAACCTATGATAATGAAGTCAGTCGCTGCTTCATTTCATTAGATTTTCAACAACTTATCACTGAGCCTACTAGAATAACTCCATTGTCACAAACCATCATTGACTTGATTTTTACCAATTCTAGAGATAGCATTATTACGTCTGACGTTATTGACAGTTTTCATATTTCTGATCACAAAGCAATTTTCTGTGAGTTTTTTCATTCTACTCCTCGCCCTGAGCCATTTTTCTTGAAATATAGAGATATTAAGTTTTTCGTATATGATGATTTTTATGCTGAATTGTTAAATGTTCCTTGGGATAATATCTTGTATACAAATAATATTGATGATAAGGTATCACTTTTAAACAGCTACATAATCGGCCTTTTTGACAAACATGCACCTGTAAAAGTATCACGAGTCACTAAACCTTTTGCTCCATGGATAACTCCAAACATTAAGTTGATGATGAAAAAGAGATGATGCTTTACGTAAGTATAAAGAGTCTAGAGGATTTTGCTTTCTATAAAGAACTACGTAATACATGTTCAGCAATCAAAAATGAAAAAGCAGCTTTTTTAACATCAAAATTAAATTCTAATGACCACGATCTGTGGCAAGAAATCAACCGGATCAACATTAAAAAGAAAAATAATACGGCTATACCACCTCATCTTAAGAACCCCTTCGAGATTAACAGTCACTTTCTTTCAGTCTTCAGTCCATTAAACAACTGTCCAGAAGCAACATCTTTTTACGTATAGTCAACGCCAAACAAAGTGGCGTGCACGTCATCAAGGTGGGTGTGTTGAAAAATTTACATTGTTGCCAAACTTTTTGTAAAATAATAAAATTTATTATTTACATATCTAGGTTTATAAGCAATATTAACCTCAAATGAGAACAAAAATAATAGTATAATAAAATTATAGATCTGTACTTGCATAATCATTATGTATGACAATTATTGATCAGATGACACTATGAAACTACCATATTTAATTGATAGCTTAAAGGTACCGAATAAAAATCCAAATGGGGTCCTCCAAATTTTATATGCATGGTATTTATTTTACAGAATTCATACAGAAAAATGCATTCTAAAATTAGGTAAGCTACTGGTGTAAGCTTTTTCTGTACAATAAAGTTAGTCGGAGTTTCTTTCTTCAGCGCTGTCTGAATCTGAATCTTCATCACTCTCAAAGTTGATTATTAAAGGTTCGATGTCTGGTCGATCAAAAATTCGTTCTCTTTCATACCATTTAAAAATTTCTTGCTCAGTATGTCGAACACTATTTTTCCACATGTCTGGGGTAACCGTTTGTAGAGCCTCGTTCCACATATCCAAACAGTCTTTTTCACTGTTACCATCTCTACCAATATGTCTGTTATAGTAACCTTTTGCTATGCCCCAAATTAACTCAATAGGGTTAAATATACAATGGTAGGAGGCAGACGAAGAACTTTGTGCCCATGTTGTTCCGCCAATTCATCAATCACGTATATTTTAGGTGGTTTGTTTCTAAAAAAGCAGTTATTTTAAGAATAGGAATAAACAAAAGAAATATAAACTGTCGACCAAAATATATATAATTAAGAAGCATTATGTACCGAGCAACAATACTCAATAGCTCTGTTTTAAACATTGTGTTTAAAAATGGTATGTTTTGATTTGTCAACCAGTCTTGGATATTTTTTTTTGTCCATGCACTTTGTTCAATATCATGCTGTGATAAGGGGCGTTATCCAGTATAATCATAGATGGACTCTCCAATTTTTCTAATAACTGATGTTGAAACCATTTCAAAAAATTGTCCTGGTTCATCTCTCCATGGTAATCGCTCAATTTTGTTTTCGAAGAAAATATCGCTTCACTACCCTCAATAAACCCATTTTCATTTCCAGCATGTAATATAATGTATCTAAAATATATTAGTTTTAAATTTTATAGTGCAAATTGTGTAAAAGTACATACCTTTTACCATCTGTTTTAATAGCTTTCACGCTTTTTTGGTTTCCATTTTGCCAAGAGCGACCTATGGTCCCATTTTGAAATATCCAAGTTTCATCGAGGAAGACAAACTGGTATAAGGCCTCAACCTTGGCTTGATTGTATTGCCTTAGAAATTCCACCCTTTTCAAAGCTATACTTGGTAGTTCCATGATTGTCACATGACAATTTTAATAAGAATGTTTATATGACTATTAACCATAATAAGGGAGTAATGACCATTTTACAATTTATATATCACATTAATATGAAACTGCAATAGAGCAATTGTTTGTGATAGAAACCTAGGCATTAGGTCGGGGAATTTTTATCGTGATGACGTGCACGCCACTTTGTTTGGCGTTGACTATAGGATCTAATTTTTCTACTGACATCTCTTTTACGATAAAGCTGGCTATTGACGATACTAAAAGAATTATTTTTGTTTAGAAATCGTCCGCGTATGGTGCAGATGAAATTAGTGCTAAAATGTTACAGTATTGTATTACTAAAATTGCTCCGTATATAACACACATCATAAATTGTTGTATAGAAGTTGGTTATTTCCCATCCTTATGGAAGCACGGTCTGATTAAGCTTTTAAAGTTCACCTCTTGTCTTTAATGATCTGAGACCCATAAATATTCTTCCAGCGTTATCGAAAGTTTGTGAAAAACACATTTATGACCAATTATATGAGTATATTATCGCCAACCAAATCATTCCTGAATCTCAATCTGGTTTCAGAAAGGGTTTCAGTACGACATCATTGCTTTTAAACATTTCTGATCACATTATTAGGTCTCTTGATTCTGGACTTGCAACTGCTCTTGTACTACTTGACTTTTCGAAAGCTTTCGATACTATTGATCATTCTCTTCTACTTGCAAAGTTGCGATATTATGGCATAGATGATATGGGGCTTAAACTTTTTATTCTTATCTACATCATAGGTACCAGTGTGTTGTGGTGGATAACACCTCTTATTCTGATTTTCAACTTGTGACCTCTGGAGTTCCACAAGGTTCCATTCTCGCACCTTTACTTTTCATTATATGTATATACTTCAGATATATTCAACTCTGTCAATAGTTGTAATATTCAAGGGTACGCTGAGGACACTCAATTATTTTTATGTTTTGATCCAAAGTTTGCTGATATAGCATCTGCTTACATTAACCAAGACTTACAAGAAATACACAAGTACTCTTTGAGGAACAATTTAAAACTAAATTCCGATAATTGTCAAGTCATTGTATTTTCTCCACCTAATCAGGAAATTTTTACGCAATCAATGGAACCGAAAATTGATGGAAGGAATATTGCTCTCTCCAAAAGTGTAAAGAACTTAGGTATAATTTTTGACTGTAAGCTCAGGTTTGATGAGTATGTTTCACTTTTAGTCAAAAAGACTTATCTTGTACTTAGGCTCCTCTATCGAAATGGAGGAATATTAAATTTTAGATTGCGAAAAATGCTTTGTGAGTACTTGGTATTTCCTATTCTGAATCCTGCTGTCACGCTTTATTACACATTTCTTACGCAAGTTTTAAAGTACAGGTTGCAAAAAATTCAGAATTGTTGTTTAAGATTTATTTTTAAGCTCAGGAAATATGATCGAGTTTCAAGCAAAATTAATGAATTGAGTTGGTTGAAAATAGAAAATATCTATAGATACTATACATCTGTCTTAGTTCACCGGGTATTACTATCCTCATTTCCTTCTTATTTAAGAAGAAGATTAGTTTTTAGGCGTGATTTGCATGATTTGAATATCAGATATATTAATAAACTGTCTCTTCCGACATGTATGTCTTTTACATATAATTCGGTCACTATTTATAATGATATTGATGATGCTTTCAAAACATATTCAGTTCAGAAGTTTAAAGTTTGCGTCAAATCCTTACTTTTAAATTCTAAAACGGCTAGCTCGTATTAGATATAGTCATGATTTTGAATTGTTTGTTTTATAATTATTAATTATAAAGTTGGTAGTGTTTCTGCTAATCATCCATTCTTAAGAATACTTTACTTTATGTTACATCCATATTGTTCTATTTGCATATTTATGTTCCTCATATTATTTGTTGTCTTAAGTTAGGGTTAAGTAGAGCAGCTGTTGCTAGACTTCGTCCTATGTTCAACCGTTTATGTATTGTATATGACAATACTTTAATAAAGGCATAATACTAATAATAAGAATAATAACTATGCTTTACGTATTTAATTTTTTTTAAATTCACGGTATAATATCTTTAAATTGTTAATTCTTTTGATAACATCAGGAAGACACGTACATTTTCAGACCATTATAAAGTACTGTCTTGTCTTTCGCAAGTGTAATACCTAGATGAGTGGCTGCTGTGCAGCGTTGCGAGAATCTTTGTGAGAAATGATCGTACGCAGTGCCGTAGCGTGGACTAATGCGTTTCGAAGCGGCGCAGTGGTAGTCCGAGGATTCATGTTTGGGGGGAGGGGTTGCGAGTTGTTATAGAGTTGTGTGAACATGAACGAACGATCGAGTTCATTCGTATGCAGGTTGGATTCAGAATGATGTTTGTAGCCAACTCAACTTTTTTCTCAGAGGGGTTAACTTGTGCCGAACATGATCCTTTATGAACTGATGACAGAGTTACATGGGAAATGCAGAGTCAACCGGCTTGACAGCATTTTTTTTTTAGTTTGGTGATGGAGCCCCTAATACTGCAGCCACAGCCATTGGAGGTCTTAGTGTCACCAGCTGCCTCTCCGACTTTTCCGTTTACGTGTTCCACCCATACGGTGGTAAAAAGAGTGCTCTAAAAGAGGCTCAGTGGTCCCCACTATCGGACAGTGAACGGAAAGATTCGCTGAGCGTCAACGTAGAGTTCGTCAAGTTCCATCTATCTAGATCAAGGATGCTGAATTTCAAGCAGGAACCGATCGTGAAAGGCAAAAGTGGAGGCGGGGATCAGAGCAGGGCAGTCATAAGGTTTTCAAGTGAGTTTCTGTTGCTTATTTTTAAATTGTATCTAGGATGCATTTTGATTGGGGGCAAAAAGTAAAAGCATATAATTTGTCATGAAGGGTCGGCGAGGATTTCCAGAAAATACTTGTAGTTAGGTATTATTCACAACGTCATTCCTACGTCACTAAAAAAGTATTCGGCATTCTGAGTATTAGCCTGGTTTTTTGTTTTGTTTTGATTTAAATACTCTCTACTTCCCGTCTAAGGAGTCAGTCTACAGAATATGATTTTTATCTCAGATACGATATAACGTGACCATATGTTTCATGCCAAACCATCATCTTCAGAGAATGAAGAATATTATCTTTACATGATAACATATTACTATAAATAAGGTTACATTCTAAGGGCAGATCGTGGAAGAACTTATTACGCCACGCTTGAACTCATTCTGTCACAGCTTTTGCGCGATAATTTTAACATTTGAACTTTGGATTTCATTATTTGCCACTTGTCCTTCATAGATGAAAGTGTAAAATATTGATATCTCGTCTCTTATTTAAACCATCTTCAGACTGAGTTTTGTGATTACAACAATACAATATGGTACAATAAACTTGCAACATTATTTCAGCAATTATCGACATTGGATCTGCCTCGTTCAAGTACGACATGCGCCGCTTAACAGAGATCCTAGCCTTCCCAAAGGCCTGGTATCGACGATCAATCGTACGTCGCATGTTCCTGGGCGATCTGGGCGGAGCTTCGACGCAATCCAATGGCGACGACGACATGGGCGTTTACGTCACGCCCACTTCTAGCTCGTCCCATCATCAACAGCAAGCGGCGTCACCTGGAACGTCAGCTAAGGCGGCGCAAGGAGGGAGATCACCGGTTGTTGGAAAGGATAAGATGCGGTTGAATTTAGGTGATCAACAGGAGCATAGGCAAAGAATGAAGGAGATTGGTAAGTTTGAAGTTGATTGCTAGGAGCAAATGATTCCTTATGTTAGAGGGTGCTTAACAGAGAAACAGTTGTGAATTACACCATCAAGTAGGTTAGTCCTCGTCTTCTATTCTAATTCAGACTCGGGGCAATTAAATATCAGACAATACTCTAACGAAATACAGTAAACTCTCATAATGTACAAATAAGGATTTTAGCAGTGGGGTGCACAAACGTCTATCATAGTTCACCGTACATTTTGGTCTACACAAATGTAATAACATGTACAAAATTGTTTTTCTTGAAGCACTTGCATCAGTGGCATTCGTGCCGACACTATTTTTTGGCAATTGCTGTAGTACTTATTTTTTTGTAGGAAAAACACTTAGCTCCGACTCAACACAACAGGATACACCAAGTCCTTCTGAGCATAAAAATCTAACAGCTTGGGAAACATTAGTACTGTTTGCTGTGAATTTTAAGAAGTTAAACGTACATATGAATATGGGAAATGTTATGGGCAATGTTTCGTAAGTTTTTTTATGGAGTCGATAAAAATAAAAAAGTTGTTCTACTAAGGACTAATTAAATCTATTTAACATTTTGTAGAAAAATTGTCTCAGCCGAATTCGGTCCCTCATGTGTATAATTCTGGCATTTCGTCATTGTCTTAGGATTACTATATTTCTCTTTCAGATGGATGACCAAAGATTTTCTAAGTGATGGCCGATTGAGCATCGGGTCTACAGGTCACAAAAATTTGTATATTGCTTTGGGACTAGGTGGTTCAAGCTTAGATGCTAAAGGTGGTATTGTTGGTGGCAACATCGAAATTGCGAAAATAAATACTTACAGTAAGTGCACAAGTGGAATAATTCGCCTCGCAACGTACCTCGTTCATTAACGTCATTTCACATTATATATCAAGATCTCACTTTATTGAGGACATGTCATTCTGAGGGTGGCGAGCCACATCCAAGGGATTTTAAAACTAAATTAGTATGTTGTCGAAAATTTGTAAAATTGGTGACTTTACAAGTTCTCTATAGGAAAAACGAGACAATATTTTTGATAATGAGGAAACATACTGATTTAATTTTCAGTTCCCTTAGTAGGTGTTCGCCTCCTTGAGTGTTAGTGAAATTGACAGGTTCTGGCTGATACGGGTGGCGACATTAGTAGTGAAGATGATGAGACTGATAAGTTTCCCAGCTAGACATGGGGCAACTCCATAATGTTTTTGCTTTCAGAACTTTAGTCGTATTCGAATTAAGTACTTCATTTATCTAATGTTTTTTAGTCCACATTAGAGAAGAACCAAATGTAGAACCAGATCACACAGTATGTTTGAGATTATATGCCTTAGAGCTAAGATTAGACTATATGGCGACATCTGTGCTCATGTGCAGAGTCAGCGATTTGAATGTGAATTTGAGAGACGAGTGGAAACTGAATCAAATGTCATCCTCTACATTTATACCAACCAGAAGGTAATTTTATAAGAAACAATTATATAATTTACATACGATCTTCAAATCATAAATATTTTAGGCCTGCAAATATTTTCATGCATGGAGTTCTCAGTTGGGACCAGCTACAAATAATGATTTCAAAATCCACAACAGCGGATCTTTTGAAGATGTTCAATAAATTGGAGGAGTTCTTTTCACAGCAGTTTAATAGCAGCAAAAGAGCATTTAGTAGCTTTGCTGGATCAGGCAGGCACCAAAAAGCATCACAAAAAGGTGAGACACTGTGGTAGGCAGTATAGGAAGGTCTACTATGGAAGTCGATAACCTCTTTACGTTCAAGTATTGCTTCAATCTTTCCAATTTATTTAGGCTCTTCCACCCATCATCAGCAACCAGGACCTTTGGCAGATGCTCGACATCACAGGCACTGGCAAAAAGTACTCGCCCATGTTGCTGGCCTCCAACTGAACACAATGCATATGCCTCTACCTTTTTACGGTACAGTGTTGGGCGGTACGATGGAACTTCGTGGTAACAATATTTCTTTGGCATGTTTCCACGGCATCAACTTCAAGAGCAAGTCGTGGGCTTTGTTTAGCCTCAAAGAGCCATGCATTAATTTTAATACTGAGGGACAAGAAATACCAGCTGCAGGTATGTAGACCAAAGTTTTGTTAGTTCTATCTTTGTTAACATATTTCACCTGAAAGTACCCCATCCAATTATTGAACCATTGTGCCACCAATCACTTTTGCTTACAAGCATATATGTATATGCACGTGTTGACCATCTTCTTTAGGCAAGAAGAATACGTTAATCAGTGGTTCTAGTTGATTTTTTTCTACACTAAGCATATTTTAGATGGCTCTTCAAAGCAAGACGTGCACGTAGTTCAAACTCTAACCTGTAGTTTGGGTTTAAGTACCTACAAGACCCATCTATCCATGGCAACAGTTTGCAAAGTATCTAGGAGTGTAATATTTCCGCCTCAATTCAAATCTTTACAAGAGTGGTTCCATTACGCCTTTGCCAACAGTCAGATCGATGGTAAGTTTAAATAATAACATAAAAATTACACTTTCTACAGTTTCAATTAATTTTCAGAGGTCGACAAATTTCCTTCTCTAGAAAGAGAGAAAACAGATGGGAATAATTCAGTAGAGAGAAGCAGAAGTTCAACATCTGCTACAAAATTGGCCGATCCGAATCATAACAGGGAAGTCATATTTGCTCTTCCAAGCTTACAACTACATTTGAAAACTGAACATTTGCAGACAGCAGATACACCAGACATATCAGGTAAAAGTTTAGGAATCAAAATGCTTTAAATTAATACTATCGAAAGCTTCTAGTGTGAGAAGTAATAGCAAAAATACTTTTCAGAAGAGAAGCCTACAGTTGAATGCAGCTTCATAACCGAATTCGAGGATCACATTTTTGTGACTGTGGACGCAGAAGCATTTTTTTTCCTGCACGATTTGATTACCTCATATCTCAAGGAAAAAGAGAAAGTGGTAATTCGTATTACTTTTAGTATATTCAAATAAAAAACTTACTATTTTCATATTTTTAGCTTGGTGGTGGTGACAAACGCCCTATATCAGAACAGGATAGACCAAAGTCACTGAGCGAAACACCAAAGAAAGGCTCTATTGATGTTGATATCTTCGCTAAAGATTGGAGAAACTATAATTGCAAGACTTGGCATTTGGAACCTACTGTGAGGCTTCTAAGTGTTGCTGGTTAGTAATGGTCAAACAAAGTTATACAAAGATACAGTCTTAGTACTAACATAATACGATTTGATCATCTATCTGTACATAGTACAGAATATGCCAGAAGCATAGGTGTCTTCTGTGCAAACCGTTTTTAGGTGGCGCTTGTGAACATTGTCACCACTTTGAGCACAACATACAGAGTTTTTCAGTAATCTTCACCTGGTTGTTTCTTTTCTGTTTTTTTATTCAAAAACCGTGCTGATAAGCACGAAACAACGTTATATACAGTTGGTCAATTGGTCATAGTTACAGAGACGGAAAGCAAACGATTCACTTAATCATAATACATACAACATTGACATTTTTTGAAAATCAATTTTCATTGGGAAGACATTTTCTGCTAATTGAGTCAAGCGTCGAAGTAATGGGTCACACGTCACAGTATATTTAAGGCGTATCCTTTAATTCACCGGTTGAACCACTGGTGCAACCAGTTAGCAGCCAATTTTGCGTCCTCTAATTCCCGCTGGAACGACAGGTTGTACACCAAACTTGTGTTTATATTGCTGGATTCCAGCAATCGATGAATTGAAGGATACGCCTTTATTATTTCTATTTTATTTTTCTAGTTTTTGTTTTTTTTCATAGGTAAATACATCGAGCCATATGGCATCGACTACATCCTACAAAAGTTAGGCTTCTCTCATGCTAGGACAACGATTCCGAAGTGGATGCAGCGAGGTTTTATGGATCCTCTAGACGCAATTTTGGCCGCACTGACACTTAGAATGGTCCAGGTAGTAAAAGGTGATGGGCACAAAGATAAAGAAAAGGAGACCAAGGCGATTGAAGGGAAAAAGTGATTTGGTTATTTTGGAGAGGATAACCATGGTAAGAAATACTTGCTTAATCGTTAAATTTGGTAAAACTGATTGACATATTCTAACTGAAGATGTCTAACAATTACCCGAGATGAAATGAGATATACAAGCGTCATCTATGAGACTTTGTCGCAGCTGAGTTTGTCAACTATGCAATAATTAGAAATCTAGGGGAGGTGCACGTCGAACGACTCTAAGTTTAGCAAGACAATTTTCACATATATATCAAGATACAGATCCTATGCATGGGGATCTCAATACCTGTGGGAGATACAGCTTAGGTTAAATTAGGAAAAAGTTGCGTTCTTTACATGCCGTTGAGAAACTTATAAAAACTTCATGACTTACTGAGATATTTTGGAAAAACTAAAATTTGGCCAAATCATTTTAATTTTTTTTTTAAATTTGTGCTCGGCGGTCCGTTTTTGAGAAACCATCATCAGCTTTATTTTTTTATATGGTCCGAAAAAAGTGCATGTATCTAATAGCGTTTTTTACAAGAATTCAAGGATGTATCACATGTTACATTTATTTTCTGGTTATAAGGAAAAATGCGTTTTTCTGGTTTTTCATTTTTCTAAGTAGGCGTTGCAAACAAATGCTTGACTTGACGTAAATACCTGTCACCGAGTATTGTTATTATTGTGTATTGGTAATATTCGCAGGAAAACAATTATCAACCACAGCTTAACGACAATTGATGAAAAATGCATCTGAGGATGTCATTGTGACATTTCAATTATCATTCTAATCGTCTTCTCAGGAAACCACTCATAATCAAATTAAACTACTCCATCGCGTTTTTGTGTTCTTTGAAGCGATTCAGATTTAAGAAGTGTTTTTACTTACAAGGTGTTGCTTTATATATATATTCTTGTTAAGTATTGTGGGTTTTTTTAAATAAAAGATATTAATTATGCTGACTGATTGATCTGGCTAGATTTTATTTGTGCAATACGTGACTTATAATTTTTCTTTGCTTCGACTTTTAAGAATTCAAACAACCTACTTATGTAACATCGGAAATTTATGCTGTGATCTTTGTTTATTATTTAATTTTTTCTGACGTTTCATCCACCACAGTAGTCTCTTTCAAAGTATAAATATTGTCATTGCCGGAAATTTTAATTAAATGTAAGTAATAGTTGGTTTAGCCAGACGATCATAAAGTTTTATTAGCCTAGTTATACTTCGCCTTCTTATTTAAGTATATAGTCAGTGGTTTTATCAACAAACCCAAAAATAGACTGCCAGTTGCGGGACAGTTGTTTCAGTGGAACGCAAAGGCAGTGCGCAACCGAAAGTCGAAATCGTAGTCGGGTTGCTGTCAAGCTGCTTTTGATGAGGGCAGTGCCTCATGTCATGAACCTTGCATTGAAAGTTTGAGCAACCTACATAGATCGATCTCACCTGTAGTAACTTCTTTCTAAGAAAAAAGGTTTAAACAAAGGGGGCAAACTGACGGTCCCTATCAGAATGACCTCTAATACGATCTTTAAGGTCATGTGAACCCCCTTTTTTACATCGGAATTGAAAAGAGGAAGAAATTTTACGTCCGAACATGACCATCACCATGACCTTGAAATGTTACGTTCAAATGAGGCCTTGACCTCAAATTTTGACTTGTTCTTGAAGGTCATGATCAAGGTCACCTTTGGGTGATCCCACAAACCTCACAAGTGTGCTGTCATATATTTCTGCCAGAGCAAATTGCTTTCAGTGTCTTGGTTTGACCTTGAAATAGTCCTGAAGGTCTTAATCAAAGTCATGGATAAGATCATATTATCATATAAAGAATTGTATATGCGATGTGCAAAGCCTGAGCTCATAATGCATTTCCCAAGCCTTGATATATTCTCCAAGGAGGTGGACGGAGGTTTATCGTTATATAATTTTGTTTTAGGTGATATTTGGCGATCACAGGCAACTTTTTGACCTGCTAACTTCGGTTAAGGTACATAGATTTAGTTTTAGGATAGAATATTTATTCATATAGGCGCTATTTATGGTATCATATCATTTATGTGTTGGAGCTGTGTTAGTTATATTTATATTATGCTAAACTTGTATACTGTTGTTAAGTTTCTCATTTATTTGGTATTCATATTTAGGCTGGAAGCTACCGTTTTCGGAATATTAATAAATTTTATATCATTTTTGTAATATTCTGTTGACTGAATTTTATGCTATTAGGTACTCAGTAAAAGGCAACATAAAATAATTGCATTTTTTATTTTAACACCATTTGTATAGTCATCTTTGACGTCTATACATTCTAGGATACCAGAATTAATATACACGTATTGCATATTTGGGATCTTTTGTGATTGAACAATTACCATATTCCACCAGAAGATACCCAACCCAGTTGGGAGCCATTACTTCGTAAAAATAAGCATGCAAATCCGACGACCAACAACCTTTTCGATGTCGAGAAATTCTGATAATATCAAATCTTAGGAATAGTCATGAGGTAGGTTGAGGGTGATCTTTCCGTGGAAGGTACTTGGCATCATGGCTGTGACAATGGAAGTTGTAACCACATACAGTATGTGGTTTGGCATCTTCTGGGAGAATACGCCAATTAATGGTGAAATTCTAGCTAGACCTGCTGTTTCCCACGAAATGGAAGCTAACTTGTTTCAGGAGTAATTTCAATCAGAACTCTTTGAGTAAGCAATCAAAAACACATATGTCTACTCTATCAACATTTACTTGTCTCTAATAATATGATCTAGTAACAGGTATTATATCTTATTTATTTCATAATTTGGCACCGTAATCCACAGTTAAAAGACCATAATGTTTTATGATAAACAATCATAACGTTTTAGAAGTGTAAAATCGTAATGCGCGGACCATATATCATTTGATTGATGGCAGGAATCATTTTATGTGATGCACTTTAGTTTTCCTGACAAAACGATGGACATTTATCTTACAACAGACGGCAAGGCCAAGTTTCAAATATGTAACCAACTGGGCTAATATATAATATAAGGGGCCACTATTTGCATCTTGGTGGTTGCCATCCTTCAGTGGTTCTTGTACGTTGCAAGGAATAGTCTAGAGCGCCAAAGAAAATCTTTTTCTGTCACCAATCTACACATATTTTATTTTCACGCATTTCAATGAATATTCATGTTTTTGATTTTAAGGCCATATAAAAATATATATCGATATTTTCTTGTAGCATGTTTTCAAAATTTGCCATCGGGCTGTCAAAATTTGGAGATAATTTCCTCGTTTCTCTGAATTCATGTGTATTTCGTGGTGGTTGACAGAGAGCTTTCTGGTGAAAGTAATCTAGCGTTGCTTTCTCTAGGTGGTCAAAAATGATCATTTTATTCATTTCTATAACTTTTGGCGCATTGGCTTGCACATAAGTTATGTAAGAATGTTTATATGCTTCAAGTAGTCAATCAATATAAATATTTCTCATTGATTTGCCACCTATTTTATAAGGAATATACTTATACCTATGTCTAAGCATAAGAGGGTATATATTAGAAGACACGTAATTTATATTCTAAGATACAACTACCTCTGAACTTCTGTCCAGTGTTTTGCATTATAAATACTCTTACTCAACTAATCTTAACATTAAGTTAAATTAGAGAGATCGTACGGTGTAATCCTAATATTCCATTCAACATATATGGATTTTAAATGCCTATCAGGTAATATATAGCTTACCTTACTCTAATATTACGAAGATTTTTTCTGGTGTCTGAATAGTTAGTGTGAGAGAAAAACATTATATGAAACATCGAGTTTGCAATAATCATTAAGAGAAAAGGTGGTTCTGTATTTATTCAAATCAACAATAATTGTTGAGTTGGATACACATATTTGAGGTTGAGAATTTCAAGTTGTCTGTAAGCTGCTATTGAGACTTATGTGTACGTAAGAACATGTAGTATGTTTATGTCAATATATTGTTAGGTATCGACTGGACATAACCAATATCCTGTTCGAAATGGAATATTTAGTATTGATTTACTAGACTTGTGAAGCCACAATTTAGACAGATGAAATTTATATACAATTTTCACTTTCCCTTCAAGTTGGTCGATTATTTGTATATCATCTTAGAGGCTATTTTGTAATAAAACATTAAAAAATGTCAAACCACTGAAGTGAAATCGTTAAAATATAGTTAAAATGTCCTTTATCTATGTAAGAATATAATCCAATATTTAAAACTTGTGAGATAATTGTAGCTTTGGATGGCATTTCTACCATCAATGATGCTTCAACTTCAGAAACAATCAAAATTCGCTGTTTGATTTTCGAGTACAATGCACATTCTCTATCTAACATGAACGAATTCAGTGGTTTCTACAAAAGCATCGTATCAAATTTAATCACATTATAACGTACCCTTGATTTCCGATCAAAAAATTGTTTTTTTCTTCCACCTGTGTAAAGCCATCTCGAAGTTATGGAAACCTTCTAATACAATATTTGTTGCTAGCAGAAGTGCAGTATGAGCCAATACTAGGTTTCTAAACCAAGTGGAAAAGATTAAATAATATAAAGTAATGTATGGTAATACTGTCCAGAAAACTAGAGCTGCGTAAATCTTCCAGTCACCTTCACATCTGAGGGTATTTCCGGGCGGAAAATTGCCGGTGTCGTAAAATTCTCTAATGGTATTTTCTTTTTCTTGCCAGCGTTGTTCCAAAAAAATTTTTAAACCTTCTTCTGTCCTTGGTAAAATCTCTTTTGAATACCTACAAAAATCAACAGATAAGCATGGTTTTACAAAAACAAACATTTTTAGCTTTATGTTATTCTAGTTGATTCTAGAGGAATTACTGTTATACTACTCGGCGACATGGCTGTGACGGTGAAACTAATACAGGGTCCGGCAAAATGATATCTTACATTTTAATCTGTAATAAAAATGCGATTGTAAATGATGTTTGTTGTTTATTTTAATTAACTGAAAATGTATGCTATGCTATGCTATTTGTTTTTATTAATTTTTATTAAGAGTCCAAGTGACGCCCACTGTTTTCGATACACATTTGAAGCTGATTTCTGAAAGATTCAATCACTTGCGCGGTAATTTGAGGCGATATTCCTGTAATTTCTTGGCATATCGCTGCTTCGGGGATGGTGTTGAAAAACCTTCGCTTTGAAGTAGCTCCAAAGGAATTTGTCGCATGGGGCAAGATCGGGTGAATGCGCAGGCCACACAACGTCTCCACGTAACGGGAGCTGTAGCTCCATCTTGTTGAAACCACACATCCGGATGTCCAAGTTCTCTGAGTTTTGGTTCCAAAAAGAGTTGTACCATGTCGACATATTGATCGACAGTTGCGATGACCGTCACGCCTCCCTCTTCAAAATAACAGGGAAGGGACCCCAAACGCCAAAAGGTCCAAAGCACACCAAACGGTAACATGTGGACTATGAAGTGGCCTTTCATGGGGCTGCCGCGGATTTTCTGGTGCCCAGTAGCGAAAATTCTGCTTGTACATACACCCAGACAAATGGAAATGAGCATGTTTTGAAGAATATCGTTGCAACATGCTCTGCGATTTTCCCAGTCCCGTTCTCTAATATGCAGGATCATCATTTTGTAGGGGTGGAACTTCAGATCCGCGTGTAAAATTCTTCTCACAGAACGATGACAAAACGCAAATCAGAGGCATGTTTAACAACTGAACGACTAGGAGATCGTTCAACTGTTTATTTTACAGCGGCAACATTTTCAGGTGTCCGAGTACTTCTGGATCTATCAGCTGATTTTCTTTTTAAGGCTGAACCTGTAGCTCAGAATTTGAAACCCACAGCAGTAGTATTTTGCGAACTGGAACTGGAGCATGTCTAAAAAGTGCGAAGTGAGTACGAAAAGTTCTTTGAGTGGTAATCACAGATTCGTTACTGTTTATAAATGTTTCGATAACGAAGGCACGCTGCTCGCCGGTACAATTCATAGCGACAATTGAAATGGTAAGACTCGAGCTATCAACCAACTACGCTAAGATCCCCCTATCTTCAGTGATTCGGGCACAGTGGCGGTGCAAAACGTGGGAGATCATTTTGATGGACCCTGTATTTAAACGTACATATACAGCATAGAGTTGAGCATCTTACTTCTCCTTTTTTGTGTACATGTCTATTTGGAAATGAACGTACCTGGCTAGGTGAATTTTTATCTGTTTAGGATATCGTCCCGTTAACAGATATAGTTCATTTTGTGGCACTCGGTCTGGATATATTAAAGTGACGTCATATACGGCATCTAGATTTCCATTCTTTAACAACTGGTGAGAGAGATGTACGAATCCCGTTGGTTTTGGATGCAAAACGTATTTGTATTTCTGAAAATTTGATCGTACGTCAGATGAAAAAATAAGGAAATTGTAGCCGTCAAGCTGCCCATTAGGATCAACCATTCCATTTCCGTAAAAGTCAGACTGACTATCTGTCACGAATGCATGTAACATGCACACATTCTGGCCCCGCTTGATAATCGCCGGACGGTACCTCCACGTTCGACACACAGTATTTGAATTTGATTAATGTATTAATTGAAATTAGGTATGCATAGATATCCTAAATGCGGGTAGTTTGAAAAAATCGCTCAAACTAGAGCTGCTACATAAGCACTTATAGGATTTTTTAAATAAACACTCACAAATACATCAAATGTGATAACAATAATTTAGAAAAATGTGTCGACTTGGCCTGGTTCAACCAATAATCTCATTTGTCTGTTATAAGTTACCTCTTTGTTATGATTTATGGCATAAATATCGCTTTCCATCTTCGTTTTCTCCGTCAGATCCGTCCCCTCCGGAAACAGTAGTATGTTGTGCTTATATCTGATGTCAGTTATATAATTTATATATTTTTGTAAAGTATCCTTATCCTCCTGCCATTTTCTTTTGACGTAGATGAACAGTGACATCTGCATGACCCAGCCTAAACAAAAAATAAAAAAATAAAGGAGATATATATTTCATTTCATTTGCAAGATCAAAAGAACGCAAGAGATAGTCAAATGTTATTATTTAGTTCTAGGGCGTCATCAATAATTGAAAAATCCAGTAATAAAGAGCGGATATAGTGATATGTTTTGTCTGATAGTTGAAAATAAATACCTGCTCCCGGAATGAGTCGGATGCCATTTTTGAGGACTAATTTTGTGGAATGCGATAATTTGCCTCTGCCTATAGTACTATGGTATAAAGCTGGCCAGAAGAAATTCCAATCAGTTCTTGTTCTGTGATTCACGAGCAAAATCGATGTTTCCTCGGTGTAGATCGGATCACCTGTTACTTCAAAGTTGCAATGACATAACTTCTGGAGTAATGCCTAAAAAGCAGTAAGACCGAATATAGTAAGAAGTATCAAATTTGCTCTCCAAAGTCCAAGCGTGAAAAACACAGATGTAAAAAATGTGTTTCATCTAATAGAATTGCATTTTTGCATATCTCTGGTTGGCTATAGAACGGGATAAACTTGTTGTTCACGGAGTCAGTATTGCTTTTGATTTGAAGTAAGGTTGAATAAGTTTTCTCCATAAAATAGTTTGTAACTAAATTTAGAAAATACGGTAATATTAAAAGAATTGTATAAAAATTGTCTAAAAAATACTAATATTTCAGAGAGTTACTTACCGTAGGATAAAGTTGCCAACACGTGAAGAATAGATCTGTTAGGTATCTGTAGAGCCTGTTTGATATCAAGAGAACTGGAAGAAGTGGACAGAATAGTACCGCGTAGCCTGCGAAATCATTAAATTTTACGTTATTTGACGATAATTGGAAAACTGCTTCGTTTTGAATGGAAATACTGGACCGGTATTCTCGTTCTCCGAAACGCTAAGCGTTTTCCAGTCGCTCAGCGAATATTACGTCATTAGCACTTGCTTTCGACGCACTTGGCAAAATATGGTCCGCGTTTTGCTTATCGCTTTCGTGATGAGTACTGTCACTGCTGTCAGAATTCTTATTTACACCGTGATTTTGGGTGTAATTGAGGCTACTGTGGTCCTTATATTTAGATAATTATATCCAAAGTATATCTAGTAATGGCATACCAGTTTGCTGGGGTTAATTTATTATTGAACATGTGGAGAGGCAAAGGTAAGTAACAATATTAATGAAGTTCTTGTACTTTCAAGATCGACAAAAAATCTTATTCTATATATATATATATATATATGAGTGATAAAATAGTGATATTTGCTAATGCAGTTATAATTAACTACCTAGTGTACTGTAAAATCACCATTGTTCAGTTAATGTGGAATTCATGTACTTATAGGACTGTGACATTAATGTTTTAGATACTGTCTGCCTTACGTTTCTTTGCAAGTGGAAGCTACCAGCTGGATGTAGGCAGAAATCATACAGTAACTCTCAGCCAGCTATCGAATTCAAGAACTTTACAGGAGGTGTTGGGAGCATTTAACACTCCAGAAATATTGAATAGATATGTCCATTTTCCAAACACAATTCAAGAGTTAACCAGCACCAGAGAAAGGTATATTTCTATTTAGAATTATAAATATATATGAGGAACAATCACGATGTTGTCCTACACTATGTTTCTTCAAAGCTATTCAATAAGATGATCAAAATTTGACGGTCGGGCGGTACCTATATTGCTTTTTTTTCTCGATTTGCCAAAAAGTACCAGGTACCTGGAATTATAGGCTGTACTGATTGCACTTACATAGCTATTGTGTGTCCAATCGCAAATGAACTTTTATATATATACATACCTGTATATCAATAGGAAACATTACCATTCCCTCAATGTACAGATGGTAAGCTACCGTTACATCCATGGACGGATTTAAAGGAGGCATGGGGGCATTGCCTTCCCAAGTTTGATCGCCATGCATCATGAATGCATGAAATAATTTTAATTTCTCATATGAAGAAACTTTCAATGCACAAATTGCCGATCCCTAATCAAATTTTTTCTGACTCCGCATATATTACAACTGAAATTTTGCACTAGAGTCAACCTGCATACTTGACACTTGTTTATTGCAGATATTTGATGAACATTTGAAAATAATGAACGTAAACAGTCGGTTTCCTGGCAGCACCCATGATAGTTTTATATGGAGTCAGTCACGAATCGAGGAATTTCTGAGAATGTTGTCTGAAGAATATATGGGCAGCCTCTATTAATTTGCTAGGTGAAACATGTCACTATATGTTGTACCCTACTAAAAGGCAGTATTTTCTTTTAAGGTGACTCTGGATACCCTCTACGCCCCTGGTTGATAACCCCTTACCTGCCAGAACCCCTCAAGGCACTCCAGAATCAAAGTTCAATAAAAAAATGAAGCAAATCCGGGTTTCTGTAGAACAATGCTTTGGATTATTAACAAACAGATTTAGGTGTCTACTAAAAGACAGAGTTTTACATTATGCACCAGAAACTTGTGCAAAAATCGTACACAGTTGTGCAGTTTTGCACAACTTATGCTTAGAAAACAATATTCCATTATACAATGATCAGGAAGATGTAGGTAGGTGATGGTGACAACTTCAAGTGACGCCTTGTCAGAAGAGAGGAGCAACTTGCCACATAATAATTTTTTGGAGAGGGGTCGACCCAAACGAAATTTCCTAGCGAGAAATAATTTTTGAAATAAATTAATGGATACATTATAGTATATTTATCACAATAAAAGAGTAGTCTGGAACAAAGATAACTTTATTTAACTAGCTTTGCCGTATGACATGGGGTGCTAAGCGTTTTGAAAACGTATCGCTTTCAAGCCAAAGAACGAGAATACCGGTCCTGGTCGAACTAAATTTTCGCGAAAAACTTTTTATTGCAAAAATGGCTTTCGAAGTTTCACCTTCAAAAACTGTTCAAGATAACTAGGTACTCCCAGCTAAAATACATGCCCACAACTTCCTCATCGTACCTTTTGGCCTGATTATTTCTTGTGCCGCTATCCGAGTTATTGAATTACACTACTCTAGTTGAAAATCCGATAATTGCTGGATGAGAAGATTTGAGCTTCGCGTTCTACTTGGCTTTCGTTCTAAATAACTTTTTCTGAACAAGATATGAAGTTTTGCTCGCTGTGACCTCTAAATCAACCGGTTTTTCAAGATTACAAAAAATGCATAGTCCAAAAATACCAAAACTTGAGGGTTTATTCTTCACTTTCGTTAGGATTTGTTTAAATTTAGCAGATGCAGGCGTACATACCTACATATTGCCATTCCATTCAAGGTTTGCATTTTATTCAACAAATTTCGCCAAAATCGACTGAAGGACTATCACGATTTTCAGAAAAAACATATTTTTTTAGTGAAAATTTGACATGTATAGCAATTGTACTTAATTAGAATAGTCCAAGGAATCACCCCCTTATTAACGCTGGTCATAACGTTGCCCTACTTACCTGCAAGAATGCTGGCATACCATAGATAGGAATAGAGCAGTCCGGCGATGAGTCCCCTCATCTTCTCGTAATAGTCATCCTAGAACAATTTTATTTCAAAGAATTCTTGGGCAATGGTGATTAGTTTCTATTATTAGATAGGGGTGGGCAATGTCTCGGCGTTATATCATGCCACAAACAAATTATATGCAAGTACTATGTTCTATAATTTGTTTCCTATGGCTTTGATTAAAAGAGAAGATAGATCCATTAATATATCATAAAATCGTGCTAGATTTACATGCGCGCACATCGACTTCTATGATTGTCTCATAATTCGTACGGGGTTATAAAGCTTTTCACACTTTGGATACCCCAAGAACTCGGAGAAGAACAGCGAGTGGCGTTATGTGGTCAAGAAAAATATTCAGAAGGTTCAAATCTGGGAAAGTTAAGGATATAAGTGCTGTTGGAACAGGTGACGAGAAGTAGCTATGCTACTTCAACGTGTCTACAAAATCTCAGAAGTGTGTCTGCGCCTTCAAAGCTAAAGGGTATCCTGAGCAGGTTTTCGTGTTTTTCCATAACGACAGTACTCCTGCACATAATAAAAAATACCATTCAAATTCTGGAGTTGTGGTATGAATTGTTGGACAACCATCCATAGTCACGACTGGTTGGATGGGTTTTCACTAGTTTGATTATGGAGGCAATCATTTTGATAAACGCTAAAAAATATTTACTCACTCAAAGATTATGGGACTCCCTGAACATACCTGAAGATGACCTGGCGTTGAGATGTACACTACCAAATAATAATAATAAAAGTAATATTGGCCTACATATTGTTTAACTTAATATGTACTCACGGTCAGGAATAAATTGGAAATACCTAGAATGAACAGCACATAGAAAAGGGCGCTTTCTATTTGGGGGCGGCGGCTGGGCCATCCAGCGGGCGGTCGCGGGCGGCCGCCGCTTGGGGCGGTCGGCTCCCGGATGAACACTCCGGGTTCCGGGTGCACCCACGGCTTCCCGCCAACGCCGGAAGTGGGAGATGAGATATCGACCGGACTCGGGCGGAAGGCTGCGCAGCCTCCGGAACAGGAGCATTGTGGATTTGGGTCAGGACCGGAGTGGAAGCTTATAACTATATCTGCGTATAAGATGCTCAGGGTTTAAGTTGTGCTGAACTTATATTTATGAACTGATGGCGGCTTTGCATAGGAAGTGCAGAATCCACCTTCTTGACGCGATTTTTTCACAATTTGACAGCGTTTCTTGCGGAAAAAATCCATAACATTTTCCAAGAGAGTGGGTGAGATTCGACTGGAAACGCCGCACGTAATTAATTGGGCCATCCTAATAGAATATCGATATAAAGATCTTGGAACGTACGCAATCTGATTTCAATATAGTCAAGGGAGATGCTTAAGTAGTGAATAACAGCAGTATCCGTAAGAAGCATGTTCACGCTGCACAAGTTGATCGATTTTTGAATTAGTACCAAAAAGATACGAACTCAAAACTTTGGTATCTGAAAGGACAATATCTTCAGTGCTCTTGGTGCGATGTGAAATATAAAGATAACATAACGTTCCTAGAAGTAATAATCATATAGCTGTTTACGTGAAATATGCGGTTACTTAGTTCGGCCGAGAAAGTGTGACGCCATAAGTCCATAACATACAATTTAAGAAAATGACTACAAGTAAATTAACAACCATAGCTCCACGGCTTCGAAGCAACTTCTAGTACATTTTCCATGTAGTACAATGGCATCAAAGACTCGTAGGGTTTGCCAGAACCACTAGTTTTCTATCAGGGATTTTCCTGAAAAAAATTCCTTATATTGCAGCAATGGGCGTGTCCTCAAACCGGAGCCTCATTTCTTTGGAGCTCGGGTGTAAAACTATCTCCAATTACCGTCTGAGACAAAAGTTAGTTACAAACATGTATAACAGATAAATTGAATGGATCAGATCAATCAAACTGGACCATTTAGTCAGCCCACATACATTTATCTAAGCTTAATGGGCAAATATGTTTAAAAATCTATTTGTGAAATATGCCTTATAGGTGCGTAGAATTACCGAGGTTAATATACTATCATCAAACTTTTTCATTTTCCTTCCCCCACCCCCTACAACCCCCAACCCCCCAATTTCAACACCAACAAAACCTTTTCAGAAAATAATCAGGAGTCTCGGAAACGTCAAAAAACGGAGTTTGTTCTATTTTTATCATTTCATATTTTTACCCTAGCTCTGCCGCCACTGGGCCGATTTTAAAAAACTTTTTCGTCCTTGGCATAGTAGTAACCTTGCGTGAAAGTTTTATCTAAATCCAACTGGCACTCTCGAGTTATAGACGGGACAAGACCGACAGAAATGGGTGACTTGGTTTTTCGTGATGTCCTATAATATACAAAAAACGATATCTCAATTTTAAAATTTGTCGCGATCGCAATACCTGGTATAGGAAGTAAATAATTTGGTGAATATGGAGAACAACCATCGAAATCAAGCAGTTGTTTGAGGATATAGCAATAGCACAGCTCTTGAGATGGGCTGGCTACGTTCAAAGATTTAACAATGATCGGTTAGTAAAGTTGATCTGGGAGGAAACAACAGCTGGAAAAAGCCTCTATATGGGCCCAAATGAAGGGATAACATCTAAACGGTGAAGTGAGTAAAAACTCACACTGGTTTGTAGTGCTGTTTGTAGGATTCCTTCTCTTGGGGTTTTCTAGAGTTCTAGGCCTTTGCCGATAAACAATAATCCACTGACACCAGTCGCGAATTTCCGGAATAGGCTCTTCCTTGTTCGCGGGCGCTTGAATCTCATACTTCCTGCTTCTGATCTATTTTTCGATTTCCATGATTTTCATTTTGTCAAAAATAAAATTGTTGAGTAACGAGTACTGTCCTGGGGATTTGGAATTTTCCCGAGCAAACGCAATCGGTCACCAAGGTAACCGAGGCATATCGCTTACGGTCGAGGAGCCTTCGTCTTGCCTGCTTCAGGCAAACGGCTTGATGTATTTTTCAAAAAGGAAAACTATATATAGATCCTGCAGCGTTCAGATGCGCCAACGCCTTTCTATCACCGCAAGCTATTTGCAAGAGGATGTTGTTCCAATTTGTGGAGCGAGAGATGCGGCTTTTGACTGGAAAGACTCATTTTCGATTACCCTGATACCTATTTTCTGTTCATCGTAGGTACATTAACAAATATTGCGGTGAGGATAATTAGTATATTGCGGTTATGATTTAATCAATGAATCATGTTGTTGGAAAAAACGGCGTAAAGTAGTTTAACTCTGCGCTTCCTACGCAACACCGTCATCAGTTCATAAAGGATTACTTTTAGCGCAAATCCAAGGAAATAGCCAGTTACGAACATGTACGACAGAATAATTAAACGGATTAAGTCAGTCAAACAGGCCCATACAATTAGTTAATAGACATTCTTGTCCTGCCCTACCGGTAGTTACTGTCCATCTGGCATTCTGGCGACGTTGTCCCTTACCACATCTGCGCGGTATTGCTGCAGTGATTTGTCGTTAATTTCATGCATGGTCCGTATATATGTTTTTTTTTGCGTTGCAGTACGAATATATTAGTCAGTCGGACTGGATAGCTGGGCGCTGTCATATAACATTCAAAAACGATAATATCTCATTTTAGAAATTATGCGCGATTACAATACTTCCTCGTCCATTGACGTATGAAGAAAAGTACATATTACCGTTTCATTATCGTAGCCGTCTTCACTAGTGATTTCAAATTAAAAATAAATTAGAATTCACCCTCAAAGATATGAGGCCCTATAACTATTTTCATGTCTCCTGTGATGAGATTCTCAAAAACCTTTTCATATTGATGATTTAATCAGTGACTGATTTTCTGGGTAAATCGGATAAATTTCGCAATCGATCACAAAATTTGAACTGAAAACCAGCTGGGGTCCTAAGCGACCGATTTTCTATGTCAACATAACAGTAATACCCGTATTTAGCAGCGTTCTACATTACCTGAGTATATCAAGTTTGATTTGTTTGTAATACAAGAACAATGAAGTTTTTGTCCTATAAGTCCAATAAGTATTTAAAAATTTTCTTTGCTAAAATCTTCATTACATTTGTGTATTTGTAATTTGGACAAAGGAGATAAATCAAGTGCATAGATTACTTATACGATGTAAACTTGAATCGAACACCCGCGGGAGGCTCCAAGCGACCCATTCTCTGTACCGAATGTGGCCCCACGAAACATCACAATTTTTGACGGTATTTAGCGACTTAAATTATTTATTTGGCTGAAATTTGATGACAAGGTGGATCAATGAGATATTGTTTCTCGGACTTTTACAACGAAGCAGCTGCGCAGGCAGAAGCCTAAATGCCAGGGCATCCCCTGCTGCAATGACGATCCCAAAGAAACTGTGTTAATCCGAATATGGAACTGTCTAAGGTTAGCAGAGCTGGAAAAAGCCCTCTTGTAGATTGATCAACAATCTCGACACCCTAGGGTCAAAGGGGCGGTCGTATCGACCAGTTCTGGATGTACGAAGCCAAATTTTTAACTTACCCATACAAAATATTGTATTGGAAAGGTGTGAAACTTTCAAGGATTTGGGCGTCTATTTCGATTGTCAGTTCACTTTTAACTACCACATCAGTGAAATTATAAGTAATACAATATGGCTTTATTATCAGAAATTGTAGAAATTACAATAACACAAGGCTTATTAAGTTATTTTCAGTGCTTGTTATTTCCCTTTATAAACTGTACAAAAATAATGTTGAAAAAGTGCAAAAGAAATTTATAAAATATCTATGCTATAGGAGTGATGGTGTCTATCCTCCAAGAGGATGTGACTACTCACAATTATTGAATAGATTTGGCGTCCCTTCTTTGGGGAAGCGGAGCCAGCAGGCGACCATCATATTTTTATACAAATTACTGCATGGTAACATCGACTGTCCTGTTTTGCTATCGCAAATTAATTTCCTGGTACCTAGATTGACATCTAAATATAAAGTTTCCTTTTACTGCAAGAGGGCGCAGACAAATCTTCTATCTAAAGCACCAATAAACTTTATGTGCAATAATGCGAATAGGATTGTGAGTTTTTGTGATATCTTCTGTTGTGGATTTCAGGAATTACAAAGTGCCATATGTTCACAACTTTGACTTTTTTACGCCTTTCGCCTTTTCGTTTGTTATATATATGTATGTGTGTGTATACAGGGTTACTTTGAAGTCGTGTCATTAATTTTCAGATAATGATTGTAGAAGGAAGATAAACCAAAATATGTGTAAAAATAAAAAAAAATGTTACCTTGTTTTATAAAGTATCCTCCCGACAAGTATTTCAGTGCGGATCTGTATTTGATCGTGCGGTCTTGGAGCACCGGCATGCCCTCCCCTGTGAGGTCTTAAGTCACCTGATTCACGAGCCCTTTGTACTACATTAACAAAGGCACGAGGGGTTGGTTGCACTCGATTGGGAAACCGATCCGCATAGATTCGTGATGCCGCGGCAGCATTTTGTAAAGACTCCCCCTCCCCGTAAATAAGAATCATGTCCACAAGTTCAGCATTTTCGTAAACATGTGCCATTTTTTATTTCGTTTGAGCCACGCAACAAACACCAGTATTCACTCCCGCGTTACCGACTGACTCATTGACTGACATCGTGATAAACGTTTCAAATTCTTTCGCTTTTTTGTTTCCGATGCGATGAACCGATAAGGCGGATTATATCCGTTGTTGCCAAACACGAGCACATAATATTATTATTGAGACAGGGCGGTACTCAAACTTCTAAAGGGCTATAACTTTGTTAATTTAATTTTACCAGAAAAATGTTAAAGGAAAAAACATTTCTTTCGATCAGATCTACTCACTGTTAAAATAAATCACTCAACTTCGAAGTCACCCTGTATATGTGTATATACGAGGGATGTCTTTTAAGTTTTGCATATAGAAACATAGTAGGCCGCGCGGATCGAACGTCAGTACTGAATCTTAACCTCA